CTCCGGAGTCCGACCAGCACGCTTGCTTTAGTTCGTTAGTGTTTAGGACAGTTCTTGACAGCTTGCACGAGGTAGGATTTACTAGTATTTACTACGTAGTATCAACCCCACCAGAAAATTAGTTGATCTTAATTGATTATGATATAATCTTCTACCCCGCGTCCAATTAAATTTACCCCAAAACATCCCAACTCACAACCCTCCCTCTCACTCTCACTCCTCACCACCACCACCACTACCACTCCCACCACCAGCCACCGTACGCATCAGTCACCATGTCCCTCAAGCCCGGAGATTCCTTCCCCAACGACGTCGTCTTCCAGTTTGTAACCTCCAATTCATCCATCCTCCGAGTTACCCACTAACTGTTGTCAGGTACGTCCCCTGGACCGAGGAAAAGGGCGACATCGCCGCCTGCGGCATCCCCATCCCTTACAACGCCTCTAAAGAATGGGCCGATAAGAAGGTGGTCCTGTTCGCCGTTCCTGGTCAGTCTCTATCAACTTACTATCTCATCAATATGTCGAAACTAACACGACCTCACAATTCTAGGCGCTTTCACCCCCACCTGCTCCGTCAGCCACGTCCCCGGATACATCAAGAACCTGCCCGCACTGCAGGAAAAGGGTGTCCAGGTCGTTGCTGTCGTTGCATCTAATGACCCCTTCGTCATGAGCGCCTGGGGAAAAGCTAATAAGGTGAAGGGTGATGACATTGTATGTATCTTCTTGTGGTGGTTTACCAAGGCATTTTCCATTGCGACATACTGATTGCTGCAGCTGTTCCTCTCCGACCCCGACGCCAAGTTCTCGAACAGCATCGGCTGGGCCAGCAACGGTCGCACCGGTCGCTATGCGATTGTCATTGATCATGGCAAGGTGACTTACGCTCAGATCGAGACTAAGAAGGGCGTTGTGGAGGTGCGTTTTCTTTTTGTCCTATTTACAGTTGCCATTACTAACCGGTTGGGTAGGTGTCGGGCGCCGAGGCTGTCTTGGCTCACCTGTGATTCTCTTGGGAAGCTCGTTCTCCGAGGTGAATCAGATGGGAATGGAGCAAGCTTCTGCTTAGCTAGCGTTGTCTTTTAATTAAAACTCGCTCACGATTTTCTAGACCTAGTACTACGGGTTAGTACCAGGCAGGAAGAGTCAGTACCAAGCGATTGAATTATGTCTAATGGAAAATTACCCCCTTCTCGCGATTTGCATGCTGTAGTCTTCTATCAATAAAGCTAACAGGACAAACTACCCCTAAAGAACGTAGTATCTCGGACTTGGGATCACCAATAACCTATGCCTAGCAGTCAAGGAACACAGCCAGGCTCAATATTACCAATAACACATAGGTTGTCGGGCGTTATAATGAATAACAAGTGAGAACACCTGCCCCATCCATGGGATTTCACGGGCCGAGAGCGGCGCCGCGGATCTACCTATATGAAAGAAAATACACAGTCAACACAACACCATGGGGCAGCTGCGGGAGGAAGTGACATGCCGGAACCTTAAAGTGAAACAAGTTGAACAAAGTGAGAGGGATTTCCCTATCGACTTGAATACGGCTAATATCCTGTGCATTAAGGAAAGGTTGAATTACTAGCGAAGAACCACTTCACTTGGAAATGGCTACTGCAGACGACATAGTGTTAGCAGCTCCAATGCCTATAAAAGCCCAAGTCGACGATTGCTAAAGACGTTCGTGAAGGCTGGATAGCTTGATGCCATCTCAGTTACCAAGATTATGCTGCTACACTGCAATACTGGGTTATATCTCTAGCTGCATGTAGTTTATCACAGCTCAGGGATCCATCCTCTCGTTTCACTGGAAAACCCCAGCAATGTAATAATGCTGCTTGTGCGGTACCAGTCTTGTACCCGTTGTCGGATAGAAATCCATGTCTTATATCAAATCTCATAACAAAAACCAAAGTATGGCGTAGTATTGAACTGGTTCATTGCAGTGCATAAGGGTGGAATGGCATTTTAGAGCGAGGGTTCTCACGGCATCTTTTACTTTGAGATATTCTCTAGCACTACCCATAAAGAGAATGAAACCTAATTCCCCCTTTTACCAACTTTATTCTGTGGGTGTGAGATTTAATCCTACAAGGCGCAAGTTACAGAAAGAAAAGCCTCCTTTATCTTCATTGCCCCGAACCCTATTAAGATGAATCATTGCTTCCACACCGGCGACATCACGCCCTGGCTCGCTCAATCACTATTAGGCTTGACTTGATAGAGAACTGGTAGCAACATAAATAATTAGTTTATCTATTGTTAATTAGACCCCTGGACCTGCTAAGAGTGCATATACCTCATTTGATGGGGAATATACTCTACAATATGAATAGTTGCATGGCGCCAGGTGGAATTAACCCTTCGTAGTTGAGTTCACAGCCTAGTGAAGCAATTTATCTCCAATCCTTGTAAGATGGGAGGTATAAATATACCATCGCGTACCAGATCCCACAGTCTCTTTTCCTCTCCTCACCACCAAGTTCCATAGAAAAATCTCCCTTGCATAAACCCAGCACCCTATTCAGTTTGACAAAGGTCCATCTCTAGCCAAAATGACCAGCTTCAAGGTGCTCTTTGCCTTCCTCGCCATGTTCATGTTCTCCATCCAAGGCGCCATGGCCCTCCCCGGCAACACCGAATCTGTCCCTGCTGCTGCCGTCAACGACTACGAGGCTAGAGCTCAAAAGTCCCCTGCCCCCGCTGAAGGCGAGCCTTTCGTACGTTTGACACGGCCATTCTATTCATGGCAAACCCCCACTATGTAATCAACTTTCGTGCTCTGCTAACTGTATTCGATCCTCAGCAACGTGGAAGATATTGCCATGGTACTTGCAACAAGCAGAAAAAGTGTAATTGCCAGGAAGGAAAAGCCACGTACACTTGTTCATGCGTGCATCCGGATGCGAGTTGCTCGTGCTGGGTGGTCTAGGTGAATCTGACACTCTTGGGCCTTTCTTTGGGTAGCGTTGCTGATCTGGATTGGCTCAAAAGTATGTATGGGGTTGGGATATTCGGGTTGAGCAGGCAGAGTTGAGATAGGAGAGTGAATGTCCGTGATGTTGACCTTCTTGTCTCTTCTCGTCGCTCCTTCGGTGCTGGTAGCTTAAGTGGGTGGCAACTTAGTTTGAATGAGAGATATTATTGATTTCTAAGTACTTCTTGTAGTTTTATACCGTCCATGAGTAGCGGACCTTGGTCGAGAACAGTAAGGTGGTATTAAACGGAAACTGGCAGCACAGATGGTATTATATACACATGGTTCTTCTTTTTTTGAAAATAACTAACAAAGCGAGAAGCAAAATCACCAGATTAGCACGGCTAATAGTCTTCAGACTCATCACTCATGACAATGTCGTCGTCGTCGTCGTCATCATCATCATTGTCCCAATCATCATAAACATCTTCACCATCCTCATCAGAGTCGCCGTCGGCCATCTTATTAAACATCTCCTGCATCATGAACCGGAAAGCCTGCTCATGCGCCTCGTCGAGATCGACCAGGACCTTCAAGGGCTCCTTCGGCGTCCAATCCGCGGGGTCAACTTCATCTCTATCAAACAAAAATTCCGGAAGATGAGAGGCGAAGAAAGCCAGGACCAATGAGCCAACCCCCATAACATACTCCGTGGAAAGCGAGATACTCGCCTCATCACGGTCCAACCTCGTCGCTAGACCGGTCACATCGCGCTTCTTGAGGAACTCAACAAGATCCACCGCGGGGAGCTCGAGCTTGTCACTATCGCTTGCGCAAGCCTTGATCAACTCAAGGGTCTCATCCCAATCAAGCGTGTGGCGTTCACACAGGAGCGCCAGCAAAAGGAAAGTCGGGCACTCGTTGTGGTGATTTTGCCCTACCATGACCTGGTCAAAGGCGGCTTTCTCCGCTTCAAGACGTCCGTTGAAAGGTCTCCAGAATTCCCTGTGCCAGGGATCAGGCACTTGAGACGAAGGATGCTGCTGAGCGTCCTTGATGATGTCCTCAGGGAGGTACTTTTCATATCTATTGAACGTCCACATATTCCACAGGTTGTCGAGCTCTTCGCCTAGTTTGGTTTTGGTCGCGAGATCAAACGACAGCCGGGCTGGCTCGTTGTTCTCGAGTGATTTCTCATAACCCCTGATGAATGCTTGGGCAGCCTCGCGCTCTTGTTTGCTGGGAGAGCCGTCGGTCAAAGTGTGGCAGGCTTCCAGGTAGTCCAATAGAGCGTCTTCTCTTTCTTCGGAGATGTTGAAGTGAGGGTTCGCTTTCATGGAGTCCACATAGCTGATCCTTTCCTTGATTTCCTTGGTTGTGGCGGTGGAAATCTCCGTGAATGGGCGCGGAGGCGCCAAGTAGCGTAATGGGTTCATTGTGGTGTTTTGTCTAATGTACTCTATTCCACGATACAAAAGGAGGCTATGCCAAACTGTGTTTTATTATGGTAATGTTGAGTTTGTAAACACAAAAGTCTGTATAATTAAAAAAAAAATTTCTGATTGAGGGGTGAAGCTTATCCCTATCGTATCCCCACTGTGGGTCTATCAGAGTTCGCTGAGTGGTCCAGTGAGTGAGTGATCTGCATGATAGGTACATGGGCATCGTTGTTGTTTTGCTATACTCCCTGCATTTCTGCTCTACTAACACATACAAATACACGGTAAAAGACCCATAGGCCCATAGCTGATCTAACTTTTAAGTGTGATAGGATTAAAGTGATACTGAGTTTATCCAATTTCTACTATAATAAGATGATGAGTATGGGACATACATATTTGTCCAAATTATATATAAGCGAATACATGACCACGACTTATACCAATCATATTAGCATGCTAATCAATATCCCGTTATGCTTTATCGCATCAACCTACTACTGTCCCAGAGCAGATCTGTGCCGCGGAAAGCTCAATGCTACTTTCAAGTAAAGATTTCCGAAGTCATGGTCTCCAATTGTAAAATGGACGCTCTATCCAGAAGCCTCGTGGAAGAGATAGCATTAGAGAACCCAGATCCACTCTGTTGTCTCGGGAGTGTTAGCCCAGTTATGATAGGATTGCACTTCCAGAGCTGTAAAAGTGGCTGTGTCACAGTATTCTATGGCGCCTCGTGTCTACAATTGCAGTTCGGTGTCGGGTGTGCTTTTAATTCGCAAAGCTTTGGCAGGGCTTGAGGAAATATCTTGACATTTTAGCGAGTGGACTCACTGCCTCCATGAGAACACCATCTAAGACCGGGACATTGTTATTTGGAAAAGAGTCCTCCCAAGAAGATCGGGGCAATGGTTAAACCCATGAAACATGTGATCGGGGGGGCAGCAGCCAAGCGAAAAGCAACAGTGAGACTTAGCTGTTGTTCTTTGCTTACAGTCTTCTGAATATTCTTCCGGTCTCGAACGCCCTGGTATGCTGAAAGAAGTACCATGGATGGCGAAGCGTGCCAGCTGGTACGTACTTCATCATGCGCAGCCCCCTGGAGGTTAAGAGATGGATCTAAAGGAATGAAACCGAGACGAAGGTGCGGCTGGTCTCGATATCTTGATTCCAGCGCATTTCTTTAATGGTTCGCATATGCTTTCGCAAGGTGGACACAAAGCTTCCGGATATATAAAGTAGACTATCTAGATGTCTAAGACAATTTGGAGCTGATATAATTGTGTGCTTCACTTTTTAAATTTCCAGGCTGGGAAGGTTTATTCGCTTCGGTTTATATATTGATCGATTACAAATGGAGTGCCATATTCTAAGCTTAGGAGCTGGAGCAGGACAGGGTATCACATAGTATGCAAGAGAGCGAGTGGATAAATTTCCGATAAATATTGAGCTTTGGTATATAGTGTTCTAGTACAAGCTCAGTAATCAGTAAAGCCCGATTAGCTCAGTCGGAAGAGCGTGAGACTTTTAATCTCAATGTCAGGGGTTCGAGCCCCCTATCGGGCGAACCTTTTTTGCTCCGCTTTCCCATAAATTTTGTCTGCCTTGTTAGTTTATGCCTCTCACAGTATGCCTATGCTGCCTTCCTGGAATTGCCCATGCTCTCCTAGTTTACCGTTTTGTCGTCAAGGAACCCGTGTACGACGTTAACGCCGGCCGGAAGATCCTTTCTTTTAAGATTCCGACATTTTCCCGTCTCGACTACATCGTTACCGATCCATCCATGGTAGATTCCATTCGTCTAGGTAATCCCTGGCTGAAGAGTCTCCCAGCATTCTGTATGGAGTATTTCATATGTGTTTACCCCCTGGTTCATGCACACGTCCTTGTAGTTGATAGATCTCGTTCCGACAGATGCAACCTTGCTGCTGGGAATGCGCTTAGCCTTGTCCTATTGGACCCACTCCTAGGCTACGAAAACTCATCGGCAGGAGCTAGCTTTATCACCTGAATCCTTCGATACCGCCGGTTCACCCTCTGGTAGCCTTCTAAAATTTGGCGTTAGTAATCAAGGCCCGGTTAGCTTAGTTGGAAGAGCGTGAGACTTTTAGACTATCTATTAGAAAGCCTGTTATCTCAAGGTCGCGGGTTCGAGCCCCGCATTGGGCGTTGTATTTTTGTTCCTGCAATATAGGAATATGTTGATTGGATGTATAACTCATGGCTGCAATCCCTAGTGGAGTACTCTGGAACAGGGTTGGGATTGCCGAAGAATGTCGTGGGTTATATTTTGTCGGTATATGGGGGTAGATGACTCTCCTGTCTGCCTGGAACCTACTTCTCTTTAAGACAATGACCACGTCTGGAAATGACGCTAGAAAGATTGCTACAAACACCATCATTTCTCAGGGTCCTAAGGCGAGCCGTCAATTTCTGATCATATAAAAGGTCCCAATAAAGGAAGGCAGAAGAGGACCTTCACAGATGCGATTGCCATATCTCCGACGCGGTCTTGGAAAGGTCTTCTCAGGGTGCCGAAGATGAGAGAAGTTCTTATCTATGACCAGGCAAAGCGACTCATACAACTATTAGCCCTCGAGAATTGCTTGCAATTACAGTTTGCCCGCTTTTACACCTTTCCTAGAAGCGTTTGGTATCCCTGATGCTCTACGTATACCACTCCCAACGACGCTAGCTACGGACCGTCAAGGCCAGAAGCTTCGTTATAGAATACCTTCCATCAGATGCAATGTCGTTCATGTTCAGGGTTTAGCTCTTGAGTCTTTTCAAATACTCAGTAGCCTTCCGAGCTCGCTCTCTGTTGAGATAATATCTGTGCGTAAAGATTACAGCAATCGTAAAAAGAATACTGGGATAGCCTCCCCTGAGAGCCCAGACAAATGGGATAATGACGGAATTATCGTGCACATCATAGTGATCAAAGGCATTTGCACGAAAATACAAAGACTAATATGTTCTGAAAAGATTTTAACAAAAGACACAACAACTAGGTATCGTGGAGGCGAAAGAGGACTTCTATCGGGAAGTACGAACACTATATCCCACAGATTCCCACTCATCACCACCATGTCAAAGAAAACCCCATGACCTTTAGATTTCTCGGGAATAGCATAGGGTACTTGCTCCATCTTACAAGGAAGAGGTTCATTGAAGCAAGTATAATCAAATTTGCTATGATGATTGCCACCGTCTACGGTAAGGCGGGCCCCGCGGGTAGCGGTCTGATGAATGCCTGACTGTCTGCGGAGCTAGAAGGAATCCTTCAATCAGGAACTTAAACAAGACCATTCCCTAGGGGCTGCATCTGGTGGAGGCCCCATTTATTCGCCCAGGTGTGGAACTCCACGGTGCTTAATAGGGTAAAGTATGTACTATGTGGTAGCCTAGTCCAATAGTGAGACCCATCCTAGCCACTAGTTGGAATTTTGATGAAACACTCCCACAGTTCAATCATAAGGCTGAATCCCTGTCAACGTTAGGGCTCAGAAGGATTTTGGTGGCTGCCTAATGGGGCCGAAGCAGAATCCTACAGCCATAGCTATAAGCGAAGTAAGAGTCACCTGGCTGACGCTTAGAATGTACTGCATGTGGTGTTAAACCATTGATCTCGATGTTTTCCCATATTCTTCTTAAACTTCCACGTACAATATGAAATTGAATGTCCTCTTGCTAGGGGCTGCCCTGGCCAGTGCCACCCCTGATCTTCACCTACGTGCTTTGCCAAATGCTCCAGATGGATATGCTCCTGCCAATGTCTCTTGCCCTGCTGTGAAACCTGCAGTGCGCAGTGCATCCAAGCTATCCCAGAATGAAACGGACTGGCTCGATGCGCGCCGGAAAGAAGTTGTGTCGCCCCTGAAGAATTTACTCGGTCGCCTGAACCTGACAAACTTCGATGCATCGGCTTATATTGACCGAGTGTCTGCGAATACGTCCAATCTGCCCACCGTCGGGATTTCCGTGTCCGGCGGTGGATATCGCGCCATGCTAAACGGTGCTGGAGCCCTCAAAGCCTTTGATAGTCGAACCACTAATTCGACCGCGTCTGGCCAACTGGGAGGCCTCTTACAGTCTGCCACTTACCTTTCAGCGCTAAGCGGTGGTGGGTGGCTGGTAGGATCCGTCTTTATCAACAACTTCACCACCATCAGCGATCTTCAGACGAGTGAGAATACTTGGGACCTAACAAACAACATTTTAGAGGGTCCGAGCGTGAAACACTTCCAGCTCCTCAACACCGTCGATTACTGGACTGAATTAGTCGACACAGTAAAGACTAAGAAAGAGGCGGGCTTTAACACGTCCCTTACCGATTACTGGGGCCGTGCACTCTCCTACCAGTTTATCAATGCCAGCAGCGGGGGCCCCGACTACACTTGGTCATCGATTGCCTTGATGGAGAATTTCCAACGAGGTCAAACCCCCCTGCCCATTCTGGTCGCGGATGGACGAAATCCCGGTGAATTAGTTATTGGTAGTAACTCTACCGTGTACGAGTTCAATCCCTGGGAATTTGGCACCTTCGATCCTGCTATCTATAGCTTCGCGCCATTGGAATATCTGGGTTCCGACTTCAAAGGTGGCCAGATATCCAGCAATGGGTCGTGTGTTCGGGGCTTCGATAATGCTGGCTATGTCATGGGCACCTCGTCTTCTCTCTTCAATCAAGGGTTATTACGACTCAATGGCACAAAGATTCCCAAGATTTTCAAGTCGGCTATCGCCAGTATCCTCGAAGATCTGGGCCAGGGCAACGACGATATTGCCAATTACCCTAACCCATTCTATGAATATACTGGTGCTACGGAGGCAATCGCTAGGCGGTCCCACTTGAGTGTCGTAGATGGAGGTGAAGACGGACAAAACATTCCATTGCATCCGTTGATCCAGCCAGAGCGCCACGTCGACGTCATCTTCGCCGTTGACTCCACAGCCAATATCCATAGCTGGCCTTCCGGCAAGTCCTTAGTACGCACCTATGAAAGGAGCCTGAACTCGACTATCAGCAACGGAACCGTGTTCCCTGCGGTCCCGGATCCCAATACCTTCATCAACCTGGGACTGAACAAACGTCCGACCTTTTTCGGGTGCGATAGCAAGAACCTGACTGGGCCTGCGCCGCTGATTGTTTATCTTCCAAATGCTCCTTATACATTCCTTTCTAATACGTCTACTTTCGACCTATCCTACAGCTACGAGGACCGTGATGCCATGATCACGAACGGTTATAATGTTGCCACCCGTGGAAATGGCACGGAGGATGCCAGCTGGCCGTCGTGTGTGGGGTGTGCCATTCTTTCGCGTTCTGCTGAACGTACCGGTACTACTCTGCCTGAAGTCTGCTCTCAGTGTTTCAAGAATTACTGCTGGGATGGAACTATAAACAGTACGGAGCCGGCGGATTATGAGCCACAGCTCATGATTAAGACTAGTCTGGCTCCCAGAAAACTGCCTGGCTACACTGCTGCCATATTCCCTTTTGCTCTGGCACTGGCCATGATGCTTTAGACATAAGGTTTACTTTGTGCTGCAGACATACGCACTAGATTACGTTCGATAACAGCATGTAGCATCGTCATTTTGGTTACGGTCGCAAATCCGGCATCTATAGACATGTAAGACAGGGTTTTCATATACTTAGCTAAAGCTAACAATACATAATTATCAAAGCTATATGGAGTGAGGGTTTCAAATAGTAATATTCTCTCCCCAGTACTACCAGCCCTAGAGCCTGAGGCATTCCGAATTAGCCCTAAATGCGTGGTGGTGGCTGTTCCCAGTAATTTCAATGCTGCGGGGCGCCAAAAAACAAAAACCAGGCCATTGAATCTTCTCGGGTACTGTTAGTGCGACGTGGATATAAAAGCTTGATGCACACGCTTTATTTCTGTTATCGTGTCTCTTTGGTTGCCATCCAGTATCCAAGGATGAAATTAGAAAGCTGAATTGTGATTGGTCGGAATGCGGTCAGCTGACCCAACTCACCCGAACTCAACCGAGACTTCATTTAGTGAAAAAGGCAAGATATGAATCGTTAATCTACGAGGACTGTTATCCCAGACTGAGATCTGATGCCCTCTGGACAGGAACCTGAGCTTGTTTATTGAAACCGTACCCGTCGTGTTGGAACCATGCGACCACAGATGCGACAGACTCAGAGGGTCCCTCGGTCATGTATACAATGCACCCGTAGGAAAGTGAAATGCTCGAAGAGAATACCTTGTGACAAGTGCATTGAACGCGGGGAGTCGGCTGCCTGTATGCGAGAGGTCGTTAAGGTTGCTGGGAAGGTCACGGTGTGAGATCCCCCCAATGCAATATTCTCGACTCTTGGCCAACATGTATATATTTTGAGCTAATCTCTTACAATAGTGCAGTGGATGAAGATGTGTCAGATGATAGCACTACTGGCGCTGCATCGAGGCTTCTAGAGGAGAACATAAGCCTCAAAATGCGAATAAGGCAGCTGGAGTCCGTTCTCTCCCGACCGGAAATGCTAAAAGTGGAGGCAAATATCCCCCGACGTACAGCAGCCGTAGAGGACTTTCAGTCCCCAGAGAGTATCTTAAGCGAGTTTCAGCGCTTGCCGTTCCAGCTATCAGTCGAGCCAGATCAATGCCATACCGATAGCACTCGCCCGTGGGACGACCATGTAATGCTTTGTCTACCCGCGCGCCACTGGAGCGAAGTAATCGTCAAGTTCTCTCTAAGAGAGCTGGGGTGGGTTCATTGTGCCTTAGATGCGTCGGTTTTCATACGAGAGCATGATGCGTTCTGGGATAGCTTGATCGCAAACGAAGGAAATAGTCTCAGGAATCATGCCTGGATCGCGGTGTATCTAAGCGTTTTAGCCGTAAGTCTTTCTGCCAATTTTAGCTTCGGCGATCTGACTAGCTTCCAGGTTGGCGTGTACTTTATTAGTGATGAGAAGATACAAAACCTCCAGTTGGTTTATGAAAGCTTCTCTGTCCGAGATCCTTCTGTGCGGCCTTCATTGGGCAGGGGGTCTATAGAACTGTCACGTAGTTGGCGAGCTGCTGCCTTGAAAGAGTTGAACTATGCCAATTACACGGGCAAGCCAAGCTTGCGGACCGTTCAGACCTTGGCCATTCTGAACGTGATTCATAAGAATCTCGGTGAATCAGATCAGGAATATATTCTGCATGGTACGGCGGTGAATGTTGCTCGACTCATTGGGCTCGATCGTCTTGGGCATGACCGTGGAACAGCGAGCACACACATGGACAACTTAGAGTCGAACTCAAGCCAGCAGAATGTCCTTCGAAGGCTGTGGTGGACACTTGTGGTTTGTGACTGGTAAGCCTGTATACCTGGCCAGAGAGGCTAAAGGAACGCTAACACTACGTAGGATAGCTGTGTGGTCACGTCCTACCACAATTCACCCAGAGTCTTTCACAACAGTATTGGAAGTCAAAGAAGGCCAAAGTACCTTTATTGATGGAGCCTTTGCCTCGGCCTCGCCACATAGTTTCAATGAAGGGACGAGCCATCCGTCTGTCTTCGAGTATCATAGAGCAATAGCTCAACTGGCCATTACTATACAGAACCATGTCGGAGCCATCAAAAGCTGGGATATAAAAGTGCTACAAGATACTCTTGGAGAATTAGATCGCATCTCATTATCCTTCCCACCCCACCTCACATTGTTAGGCCAGGAGGCCACCATGGAGGCGGTAGGGCATGAGCCCAATTGGACTACAGTGCAGCGATACTTACTCCACAACTGCCTAGATAGCTGGCGAATCCATCTGTGTGTTGCCATTCTACCTCACATTCTGGAAATACCTAATGAGGAGGGAAGGGACGTGCTCCAGCATGGGATGTTAGCTGCAAAGCGTCTTCTTCAGCGGAGGCAACACGCACCATGCCCTCACTTCCACAAGTTCTGGGCAGTGACGGCATCCATCATAACCGCAGGAATCTATACTATCATAGATTTGATATGCCTACGGAAGTATCGATCGCCTCCCGAATTGAGCGAACAAAGGGAGCTGGTTAGACTTAGCATCAGTCTGCTCGAACAGTCATTTACAGAGACGCGGCACGGCGCATTACTCGTCCTTCAGCGGCTGTCCCATCTATACGATATCATAGACCCATCGCAAGAAATTAGCCGACTTGTACTCTCGAAGATTGTGAGGTTAACAGCGTCGCCTCGTTTGTGGGCCTCCCTTCCAGATGCCGATGCGACCTTAGGGTATTTGTTTCCCGAGACAGGCTTTGACAATCCGGGAGACACATCGTCGTCATCCCCGAGTAGTAGCCACGGTGTGGATAACAGGCTATCTGGCAATCCTACAATACAGTCAGAGTTACCTTTTGAATGGGACTTCTTTACAACAGGTGTCGGGTGGAGCGAAATCCTACCTCACTTCGGCGATTTGTCGTCCTCGCTGGAACTCATTGATATGTCGATGCCATGGCTCGATCCAGTTCCGCTTGATGACCTTATGAAAGAATCCTAAGAAGTCCAATGGTCTCGTGCACTATATATAGCACCAGAATTTGTCCTTATGAGTTGTTCACGTCATCTAGATATGTGAAAGACAATACTCGGAATGTATGATAGGAAGGCACCGATTTATACTTTACTCTCGACTTCTGGTGTCCATGATGAACGAAGAAGAGAGAACTTAACATGTATGAATCTATGACTAAGAATGAACAATCCGTAATCATAAAGCTCTAGTTAAGAAGAGCATTCTGTATTAGTCCTTGTAACAAAAAGGAAATATTTAAGCTATCTAACTGGAGCACAGCTATGGAGAAGCATATTCCGGATGTGCACTAGATTTCAGCAGTCTTCTTGGCAACAGCATACTTCGTCGTAAGGAACCGAATCTTCGAACCGAAGATGAAAACAACGAAACCAAAAACTGAGACAGCTCCCATGATGATAGCACAGATATCCAGTGCTTGCTTATAACCCATCTCTGTAACAAACTCAGTGACACCAAAAGAAATGCCAAAGGAGATCAAGCCACGGATTGCACAGATCAGCACCAGAATGGGCCCTGCTCGCTCTCCATAACTATCAAGCGAGTATGTGTATCCAATGAGAATGATACCAATGAATCCGAAGTAAACTCCGTTGAAACCGACTGTGATTGCCCACGGCGACCAGTGATATGGATCGGAACCAGCATGACCAAAGATGACACATGAGATGAGTGCCACAATGACAGGCAGTAATATGGGAATCAGGCGAAACTCGGGTTCGGCCACACCATTGCGGCGTCTTGCTACCCATTCGTGGAACTTGTCGCCACCGTATCCGAGAACAGGGACTAGGATCAGCGAGACGACTATCTGGCCTCCTTGGACAAGGCCTAAAGCTGTGGCGGGATAGTTGTATGGCGGGGCAGTGAGAATGGTTCCGAACACAGTGACCATGATCACATAGATCCCGAGCACGACACTGTTCATTAAGACAACCCACAGGATGTTGGGAAACAAGATGCACTGCAGCATGTGCTTCCAGCACTCTATCGCTACCGACCACTTTGCAGGCCCGTGGAAGATCTTCAGGCTGTGCCGCCATGTACGCGGTTGGTACCGTGTGAAGTCCAATTCGACTCTGCGTTTTGTAGTTGCGCGAACAATGGCCAGGTCTTCGCCCTCATGCTGAACATGGACCTGACCCTCGAACGCGTCAGTGGGCCGTTCATACAAAGATTCTGGGACCAATACAAAGGAGACCAGAAATAGAACGCCGCTTATGATAGCGAATATGCCGTACCACCACCTCCACCCAAGGCTCTGAACAAGGTAGGCTGTGGCAATAGTCAAGGCCGCGCTGCCTATAGATTGGATGGCGCTGAACCATGCTAGTCTACTACTGCGTTCGTGAACAAAATGGATTTCCTGCAACGGGATGTTAGTCTCCATTTGCGTATATTTTGTCTGGATATGAGAGGCGTACCTGAATAATGAGAGGACACAATGCCTCCGACTGACCAGCAGCTAGGGATAGCACATCCCGTCCAGCAATATGCGAGGCCAGACTGTCACTCGCGGCGCACCAAATTGAGCCGACAGTGAGTATTAAAGCAGATGTCAGGAATACTGGGCGACGCCCTACAGCCTCAGCGAGTGGTACGGCGATCACGTTTCCAAGTCCCATGAACAACGTTGGATATGTCATTAGATCGTTCGTTCTGGGGTTACCGTCGTAGTAGGCCGAGATGGTAGTGATGATGGGACCCATCCCAGAGGTCATGAGGACACTCAACACAGCGACTAGACAACAATCGTGCGGTTAATATTTCTCCTTTCTCACAGCCATTTATCTCAGGGTTCTGTGGGGGAGAGAAGAGGAAGATAAAGAACTTACAAACTCCTAAAGTGCTGCTTATCACCCATTTCTGCCATTGAGGTAGGTTGAGAGGATCTCATTATCGTCAGCAACAATGGTTGGAGAAACGATAGGCGATCACAATTGGATGTGTGTCTTACCTCTTGGGTCAGGGGAGGGAGTTGGAATTAAGACAATTTCTCCATCTTCGACTAGCTTGACCGTTCCTGTTGGGAGATTCTGTGCCGCGTCTTTTGTAACAGCATATTCATGATGTGCGGCGTCGGTCTCCTTCGACATTTTTAATATGTTATGTCGGGCTAATCTATATAGCCTCTGAAAAGGACGTTGGGCAATTGGACGTTAATATAGGAATTGTCGATATCCCATTAGGAATGTCCTCTCGTGTATTGGGAGATACAATTTTATGGGCCCTCTATAGCGCCGGTCTGCGTGCACGGGGTCCCCGTGGGGGAAACCCATGTACCGTTCAGTAGCCGATCGCGGAGAGACCAACCAGCAAGCCTCAAGGTCGCCAGAAACTACCGGGATAGCGAATGTGGAGCCGAGGCAGGTCCATGGCCGGTCCACCGCTGGTTGACTTTGACAGCAAGATTAGCCATACTTAAGACTCACCCGAGCTCGACCGAGTTTTACCCCTCCGTCCCCGCTAGGCGCACGTTAGCCTGTGAAGGCGACGTTCTTCATTAATTAAAACTGTTAGTTTCTCTTTTTTAGCACTTGACTGCAGCTCGGTAACGGTAAGTGGTCGGCCGAAGGTGATCACTGAAGGTCTTGTCGCCACTCAAGTGCCACCGTGTTGCGTTTGCCCACCAATAATCTTCAAAACATTATCCATGATAGTAATGTGCTAAAACCTCTATTCTCTCTCTCTCTCTCTCTCTCTCTTTATCTAGCCTTGTTGAATTTCCTTTTTTCGTAAAGTTAAATCTTACAACTATGTCATCCTAAGCTTAAGCGGCTTGCGTACTGAGATCTATTGGACCCGTGCTTTTGATAAAGTGATATAACAACGATTATAATAGGGAACAAAGCTAAATTGAATACGTAATAATTGAATATACAGTCAGATCTACTATATGATATCACTCCACAGACCCGACGCTTCCAGCACGTCCCAACTTAATAGGGAACAACACCAGCTAGCTTCAACAACCTCTCAGTCCTCACTGGCTTGGTAAGAGGCTCATCCCTTTCCAATGGGTCCGGTACTTCCTCTCCATCTACTTTGATTGTTGCCTTGCCATGGGTGTAGAGATTGGTATGCGGCCAATGGGTAGTAGTTTCATAACTCTCGAATAGCTCCTTCTTTGCTGCGCGGTCTTCATCCGACATCCAGGCTGCCGGTGTATATGTTGCGTACACAATAGTACGAATAAGGTCAGAATCTCCAAACTGCGCCCAGTGCATCTCACGCGAGTCCCACAAAATTAAATCACCCGGCTCCGCACAAACTTTGATCAATTCACAGCCGTGTTCGCGGTACCAGTCCAGATCTTTGTCGGAGAATGGATGGAAGTCCTTGTGCTTAGCAGTTCGCCATGGCATGGGCCCCGTCACCGGGTTCTCTTCGAAGACTTATCGAAGAGCGCGGCGGATCCCTTCATGACAACGAGGCCCCCATCATCCGGTCCAGATTCGGACAAATTCACAATGCCTTGGACACAAGACAATCCCTTGCGCTCTGGAGCCTGGTCGCAGTGAGGCCAAGGCTTGGAATCATATTCACCAACGATGGATTGAGGGAGTGTGATGTTGACGGTGTCGAAGGAGACAACCAGCTCATCGGTTCCCCAGAGCTTTGCAAATGGCTCAACAACACCGGGTTCGCTGGAAGCAAAGTGTTAACCATCCTAGTCTTTGGTTTGGTTTGGGTCTATTAAGCAAGCTTACGTTCTGACATCCCACATGTACTTCTCGTGTGCCGCAGCAAAGTGAAGATACATTCCACCTTTGAAGCTTTGAGGCAGGTTTTCTTTCTTCCACGTGCTTCTGTCATGGCGGTTGAATCCGATATTGAATGACTCGAGCCAGTCGAGTGCCTCGCTCTGGTATTCACGAGCGCGCTCCTTGCTCAGAACGCCCTTGATGACCGTGTAGCCATTCTTGAAGAAGTCGTCACGAAAGTCACCGTAATGGGTTTCTTGCTTTGTGTTTTGATGGGTCTTCAGAGGGTTGGGAGTGCTCAAAGGCTCGAGTATATCAACGCGAGAAGGCGCCATATTTCAATGATATTTTCGTGTATTTGAAGGGGCTATTGAGTAGGCAGGTAGCAGTAATGTGATAATGGAAATAAATGGATATTCAATCTAGGATATGGAGATGTGAACTGTATATACGGACTTTAAACCTGTGATGATTTTTCCTCGGCTATAAAGGGAACGTTCCACATCCGAGATATTTTCCAACGAAATGATAGCACGGCCGAACTCTTCCTGAACTTAAGAGAGTGAATTTTGTGACTTTGCCAGTGCTTCCTGTCTATATCGGCAATGATTTGGTATCTACCGAGTGTTTCTTTGCAGCTGAGCCGATCTCGGCCGAGCTCGCCCGAAGGCCCTCTTTAGCCTCAAAACTTCCCCATAACGGGAATCATGAAGGCAATATCCCTGCCGAAACTCACCTCGGTGCCGACAAGATTCATGACTTAAAGATGTAGGGGAGGACGTTGGCCAAGAGACGACAGGAGTCAGCATCCAGCGCACATAATCTCTCCAACAATGCCGTCGCCAGTCCCTGTCGCCACTCGGCCAATCGACAAGCCCTCCGTGGGCAGGAATAATTACCAACCCTTCGGATTTCGTGAGGAAGTCCTTCCTGCAGGTTGGAGTCAGAATGGCTCCAGGCCACTACCGTGTGACATCCATGCATCTCATGACGTAGGAGTCAAAGTTCGTGATGGCAGCACTTTATACTGCGACATCTACCGTCCTGCCGACACAACAAAACCCGTGCCCGCCATCCTAGCCTGGAGTCCATTCGGCAAGAAGTTCAATGGCATATCCATGCTAAAATTCCTACCGTGGGGCCTCGGAATACCTAGCGGGGTACTCAGTGGCCTAGAGAAGTTTGAGGGCCCAGACCCTGCTGATTTCGTTCCTCGTGGATTCGCCATTATCAATGTCGATGCTCGCGGATCCGGTGACTCTGAAGGCACTGTGGGTATTATGGGTACGCAGGAGGCGGAGGATGGATACGATGTAATCGAGGCCGTGGCCAAGATGCCATGGTGCAACGGCAATGTCGGCTTGGCCGGTAACTCTCATTTGGCCATTGTTCAGTGGTTCATTGCCGCATTGCAACCGCCTTCACTGAAGGCAATTGCTCCATGGGAGGCTTGTGGTGACTTGTATCGCGAACAGTTTGTCAGAGGCGGAGTGTTTGACGCCGGACTGTTCGACTTTATTATCGACACTAATATTCAGGGACACGGTGGGGTGGAGGACTTCCACGAAATGTATCGGCGCTACCCCAAAGCTGACGCCTTGTATTGGAAGGACAAACGGCCGGACATTAGCAAGATTAACATTCCAACCTATATCACCGCCTCCTACACCAGCTTTGTACATACCATGGGCTCACTGCGAGGCTGGTTGCAAGTGCAATCTTCGCACAAATGGCTTCGTCTGTGCCCATGGCAGGAATGGTACGACATCTGGAATTGCAAGGACTCCGCCGATGACCTTGCAAGGTTCTTTGACCGGTACCTAAATAGTGCCGACAATGACTGGGAGAAGACTCCAAAGGTCCGGACCACCATTCTACGGTTTAACCAAGAACCCCTGTATAACATCGCCGAAGAGGATTACCCCATCCCACGCACCGACTACCGGAAAATGTATTTCCACCCTGGTGGGCGCCTAAGCGTCGATGTGCCGGAAACAGAAACATCAGTCTCTTATAATTCGGAAAAGTACTTGGACTGTGCCAGCTTCACGCACACCTTTGATACCCGGACACGGTTAGCAGGTGTTCCAAAAGCAGTCGTGTACATGTCGTGCCCCGACTTCCACGACATGGACGTGTACGTACTCGTGCGCAAGCTGGATGCCAATGGGAAAGCTCTGCTGAACCTCAACATTCCCTGGTCCTCGATTGCACACCACGGCGTCAGTCAAGAGAACATCGATGATATACCTCCTCGAAATAAGAACAATCTGATGTTCCATGTTGGATCATTAGGTATCCTTCGTGCGTCGCGCCGAGCCATTGACAACTCCCGGTCCTTGCTCGATAATTACCCCTTCCATCCACATGATCGTGATGAATATATCACACCAGGTGATATAGTAAAGTTGGAGATCGGCATATGGGCCATGGGTGTAGAGTATGAGGCCGGCGAAAGTATACAGGTGCAGGTACATGGGAATAGCCCGCTTTTGCGCGGTGAGTTCAAGGAAGACAATGAATTCCATGAGCTTGCGTCGCACGGAACTCACACTCTTCATCTTGGCCCGGAATATCCTTCGTGTATCATTTTACCTTTTGTTTGAATAGAGAACTGAGAAAACGAATGATTTATGATGGATTCAAGCTTTGTACCCTTTTTTGTTCTGATTATTTACGAGTAAAATAAAATGTCACCCATCGAGCTTTCATTCACATACATATATATTTCCTTATGTTCTTTTGCCTAAAGGAAGTATCTTGATATAGCGAGTAATGGATATCTGAAACTATAGTTATAACTATAATTCTATATTCAACTGAATTCCAGTACCCTTCTCCAGAGATTAGTACACTCTTAAAAGCATGAAGCTCTTTGATTACGCCCATGACACAACTCAAATGTAGCTACGTATATAAGATTCCATGTGGTTTATCCGCTAAGGTTATAATCATATATCCGGAAACTTCTAATAACTAGGTTGCTCGTCGATCTTAGAAGCATATAGACGCCGCGCAATGTATGTAACGTTTCTCCTGGGACAGTAAGACCCCTGAAAAGTGGGCACGAGTAGCGTCAAGAACTCCATAGTAAGTCGGTGCGGTGCCATAAGCTTTCCGTGTAGTTGCACAATGATACATAGCTAACGCCCATATACCCACCGGGCAAACGGTTGGAAGCTTAACACGTCTAAGACCCTTCCGGGGACCAAAGATAGTGTTACATAAATATCCTATGATCGATACACAATCCCAATAGTGTAAGGCACGCGGTCACCTTAGGCTATCCAGTGCGCCACCTAGTAGGTTCAAGGGCTGCGGGGTTTCTCTCGCACGTAATATTGGCCTTTTGGTAAATTGCCTTCTATCATTTAGTTAACCCCAGATTGCGTGGGTTGCCAATAGGTAACCTATTTTTAACAAAGAATACCAGGATCCGAGGGTGTGACCGTGAGAGCGGATATAAACTCTTAGGGTCTGGTTTCATAGCTGTTACCGAGACACTTGTAGGAATATAGCTCATACTGAAGCTCTTTGTCACCCCCTTACTCTTGTGGTGTACGGTACCGGGTTTCACATATCGCCCATCATGGGGCAGATTTCAGATAATGTCAAAGACCCTAGCCTTTACATACCAGTTGCGTTACTATTACCGCTTCATGAACACTACTGCAGCCCGTTGGTTCGGTGTCTTTTGCCTCTATATCTTCTAACGATATATGGGATTAAACTCAATTCAAAGAGGAAACTTAGATGTGATTTTATATACTTCACTGGGCAATTTCTCTGTAACCCTTAGGACGAGGCAGATAATCCCTTGGGCGTTCTAGGCTTCTAGCGGCGGCATTCTTAATAATTTCATGACCGGTTTTTGTTCATCCGTGGTTTAGTTTGAGTACTCAAGCCCCCTAATCAGCCATCGTTTCTCTTCTAGGAGGTGTTTTTGAAGAGTACTTATATCTGAATATTTCCGCTCTAACTTCCATGCAAACATTCATCTGCATCAATATTCCTTGCTTTCCCTCTGCCCAAAACCTTTCAAACCATGAGGTTCATCAGTTTCTTACAGACATGGTCTGTCTGGGAGATATTAATTGTCTTCGCACTGTGCTTCCAACCCTGCAATGCTGAATCGCTGGCCGATCCTGTCGCACCGGGTAGTCTACCGCCACTGGATGATTCTACCGCGATGGATAAACGCAGTGCATACAATAACAGTACTTTGAAGATACTCGATAGTCGTGACGGTGAGGGTAATCACGAGTGGGAAAGTGCCAGAGGAACGTTTCGAGTTGGCGCCATGAGCGACGACGATACGTTTATGAATCAAGAGACAGGGATATACATGGGTAACGACAATCCAAACGACAATTACGGACATGCCACTGGCTGGGACCGTGACAGAAGGGGCATTCAATTCCGATGTGGATGTAGCAGGGTGAGAGTGAAAGTGATGGAAACAGCATGGCTCAATATCATCACGATGGTCTGTTTGAATACGACCTCCGCATGTAAGCAAGCAAGCATGACTGACTGATGAATAGTTGGATCACATGAGGCCTTTCTTGCAACGTCTTCGACAACACTTTCAAAATCCTAATCCGGCTGTTCAATTGTCACCTGAAGATCGGTCTAGAGTATATCTGTTCGAGATCTTGTATGGTCGTGACCAACCTGTGCAAATTATTGATCAAATTGAAGGTCTCTGGCCCGGTATCCTATATGGGACGTCACTGACCAGATTCATTTAGGAATGAGGTCAAAGATACATACAGCATTGACCTCATCTTGGTACGCCGCTACCTTTTGGTGCGGCGATTCAGAATGGATACTTGACGAGGAGTACCAGAAGGATGGAGGCAGACCCGAACGCTGTTCTATTTCCAGCGAGGTTGAGACAAGACATAAACGCCTTATCTACAAGTCGGACTCTGAAGAACAAGGTTGATCTTCTTTTCTTGACGATATTCTTAACCTCATTGTCGCTGACATGACTGCCTCTAGTGCTGTGGAGAAATAGATGGGACAATTGGATGACGCACATGGCGAAACGAGATAGTTACTGCACGAGATTCAACAAAGAAGCCGAAACCGTTCGTCCCGATCCCTTCGCCATTACGAAAGCAGATCATATTATTATCTGCACCTATACCTTGAGGCAAGAATGGTCAGTGCACAGTTCATGGTTGCGCAGGCAGTCACATCAGACAATAATAAATAGCGCTCGAACCCTCCATGATATGGCATATCACACAGTAGAAGGAGGCCTTCTTAAATTCTTCGTCCTTTCTGAGAATATACAGGGTGAGAAATGGGGCATAGATGATGCTCAAGCATTCATCCGACTAACCTTGGGTAAGTTACTGCTTATATCTTATCCATCCGCGTTGCTTTGTCTCTTCCCCTTTCTGGTCATTTAGCTAATATATTACTGCTGTATTTTCTCTTCGGGTACTCAACAGGTCTATACTTGGAACAGTGCAAATGGGCTTTACAATCTTTAAGATGTCAAGGATTTCAAAGCTAGTCGCGATACCAATCTTGGGCCCATTTAGACTATCTCTCTCTCAACGGGTAGATACATTTCTCTTGTCAATCGTGAACAGGTGGGTTGTGCAAGGGGATATCAATATACAGAAGGTGTTGGCTGGATGCTCTTCTATTGACCCTATGTATCTATTGGTAATAACTATGCAACTCCTGGTAGACTCGCTTGAGTCTACTCATGTGGTTGAAGTACTAAATGGTAGCCCTATTTGCCACATCTTATATACGTATGCGCTTGGATCTTGTATAGCTCGGGTTAATAAATATCAAGGTTAATGTGTTTCGATAGTAACGGAGAGTGTAGGAAATAACCAGCGTGGTATAGCCTTTAATTTCCGCTTCAGAAAGTTTCATCTGAAAACGTATTTATTGGCTACTGGTACCCTGTCTTGAACCCTCACAATTTGAAATTGGTTGCAAGGCCTATATATAGTACTTGTTGTCTTCTGGGCAGATATGCGCCGTAGCAGAGTTTACCAATTACTGCAATCAAGTCAACCCCGAAGATGGACAGAGTAATAATACGTTGGTAATATATGACAGTTCAGAAGTCTTTTTTATTTCGCGCAGTGAGGCGTAGCATTACAGCGCATAAAGACTAATAGTGCCTGATGGGCCTGTGGTGTCTTTCGAATCATGCTTACAACTACGAAAGCCTGTCGAATACGTAGTAGCGCAAATCACTATATCATTGTCTTCATTTATGCGGATCTTTTGTGGTAACAGGAAATCGAGAGAGCTTTCTTGCCAGGCCATATATCGCTTCTGAACCATCCTCGCACCCACGCTCCGTCGACCTACAGCATGTATCGATATGACACATCCAAGTCCCCGTCCCCTGCCCTTGTAGCTTCAGGCGAATTGTCCGCATCGGCCATCTGTCGATCTCGCCTGCGGTTCTCCATCCAACACGCGAAATAATAGCAAGTGGACCAGAAGGCGGCGAGAGTGAAGAAGGAAATGGCTACACTGTACCCAGTATGGTAGTATGGCGCGTCCTTGGCCTGGAAGAGGAATGTCGACACTATGCCCGCGATCTCACCAAACCCGAGCTGGAGCGCTGTACCGATTGCTCGCCGCCGGTGGCCCCCTACATTCATAGTGAACCAGCAGATAGCGACGGGCATTCCGCAGTACGGGCCGAAGACCACAAGAAACAGCGCGGCGTACTGGACTCGGGGCTTCTCGTGGACTGTTAGCAGGATTGCGATCCCAGCGATTGCAACCAGCAGATTAAAGAGAACGAATAGATAACGGTGGCGTAGTCGATCAGAGGCAAATGCAACCCCGAGAGAAATGAAAAAGGCCATCGCTAAAGGAGGCACGGAATGCAGTTGCGTCTGAAGCGTGCTGTAGCCGTAAGATTTGATGATAGTCGGTGAAAAGTATGCGTAACACTGGAGGATGGTGAGAATGGTCTCTAAGAAAGACACAGGAAGGATCACATACATATGATGGCACTAGAAAAGAAAAATAGATGAGTGCCCCCAAGATGATCCTGTAGTCCTTGAGGACCTCGACCACGTCAGTGAAACGTATGGGTTCCTTCGCCGACTCGTTCCCATGCTCAATCTCCATTCTCTTCTTCATCCATCGCCGCTCGGTCTCAGTCAGCCATCTGGCTTGCTCGGGAAAATCTGAGATGAGGAACCAAGCAAGAACGGCAACAAAGCATGTTACGGCTCCCTCAATTATGAAAAGCCAACGCCAGGCTCCGTATCCCCTCATCCCCTGCATGTATCCTGTGCCATACGCTATTAGCCCTCCAAATGCGCCCGCAAGCGTTGTTGAGTTGAAGAAATATGTATATCGCCGGAGGGCATCTGGACGCCTGTACCACATTCCAATCAGATAGTAGCCTGGATATGCAGGTTAGATCACCCTCTCGGTTTCGCAGTTAGATTTGACTTACATCCAGGAAACATTCCGGATTCTGTCACACCGATGAAGAAGCGTGTCGCTAGAAGACCACCATAATTTTTCACTATTCGGTGGGGTGTGTTAAAAAACTGTATCACCATCTTCAGTCAGGAGCGGGAGAACGCACCGAAACCTTGACCGATTGTCAGAACCCCGAAGCAAAACATACATCCTGCCACTGTCATTGTGTGTTAACCGTATTCCTATGCACAACTTTTGGATAGTAATATAGATTTTGATCCGCACGGAAAGGACATACACCAAACGTGGGGTCGCAGTTTCTTAAGGACGATGTTTGATGGGATTTCCAGCAGCACGTATGGCACAAAAAATATTGTCAACGCCGTGTTGAACTGATTAGATTTGGGATCCATTCCCAAATCCTCTTCAAGGCCAAACACGACTGCGTGGCCCATGTTGATTCTGTTTGATACGGAGCAGCGTAAGTATCCGTGGGTATAAAGAGGGGCCAACAAAAGGAAGGTAGACGCAGTGAATATGCTGCCGGTATGGAACGCACCGATCTAGAAAGGCAAGAAAGTACAGGGCGCACAGAATTGGCAAAACATGGGCATCAATCTTGAGCATCAACCGCTTTTCGTTGATATCCGGGACAGCGTCGCCGGCGAACTCATCGCTCGTACTGCTGGAATCGACCGTGACATCACCTTCAGACTCTATGGCACCGTCAGTATGCTGGCTAAGTGATTAGGTGCTATAAACAGGTGGCAAAGGAGAGAAAACCTCGAGGGGTACATGAGCATGACTTACTCATATTATAAACTGCAATTGTGCTGCATGCAACCGGCGCGTATGTGAGGTCCTTCAGTATCGAGGCCTAAGAGGAGGCAACCATGGAATGAAAGCGGCTAGAAGTAAGAAAGACAACTCGAAATGGCTGGTTATGCCGTCCACGACCTTCGATCAAAAGTGGGCAAGCGATATGTGCGTTCGAGTAGTTCACAGCTACTACAATTGGACAAAACCAAGATAGTAGACGAGAAGAAACCAAGAAACTTCTACAACCTCGGCATTCCTAACAAAAACTCCAAGTACAAGCAACAAAATTCCCTCAAGGTGCGGTCTTTTTTCATGCTACAAAAGCTAAGGCCCTTGTTCGCTGCTATTATAATCATTCCGGCCGAAGTCTAGCTCTCTCCAGTGCAACCACGGCCCACAGTCTGTAAGATTATATTGAAACTAAATTAACGTCACAATAGTAAAATGTGGATCCGTATGGATCTCAAGTTAGTGTGCAGTAGTTGTGTCACGATCAACAAGGGTTCGAGATAACGGTGGGGTTGACGTTTAACATTAATTTATAAAAGCGGCAACAGATCAACGGAATTCCAAGCCGTCAAGGAGTTCAATCACTTTCCTCGGGTTGAATACGTTTCATTATCTTAAAGAAGCAAGATAGCAGGACATACCCCAAAAGCATGCAGCCAGTTCATAAGAGCACATCAGCTGTCAAGCTAAATATTGCGATTGTAGGAGCTGGCATTGGCGGCTTGTCAGCTGCCATTGCCCTGGCTCAAGATGGACATCATGTCACGGTTTATGAGTCTACGCCAGAGCTATCGGAGGTAAGCGTTGCCTTAATAAAGACCAACTCACCAAGAAAGCGATTGATCGTGCATAGATTGGTGCTGGTGTACAAATGTCACCAAACGGTGTTCGCTACTGGCTCAACTGGGGCATCAATGAAGACCTATGGCAAAAGTCTTCTCTACCGTCGGAATTGAACATGCGACGATGGAAAGATGGGGAGTTTATCGCACGCACTGAGTTAAATCCAGATTTTGAGAAGAGGTTTGGGGCGCCATACCTAGTAATTCACCGCGCTGAGCTGCACAGTGTGCTTTATGAGCACGCTCTCAAACAGGGCGTTGAGGTCAGAACTTCCAGTCGCGCTGTTGATTACGACATGGATGCGCCAACAATGACACTTGCAACGGGCGAAACCGTACGTCCGGACCTGATAGTTGCAGTTGATGGTATGTGTCTACCATGAAACAGTCCTACATAATAGCTGACAGTGATGGAAAGGTATCAATTCGTTTGCCAGGACCAAACTACTAGGAACCACCACAAAAGGAGGCCCTCGGAAAACCGGGGTCGCTGCGTATCGACTTATCGTCGAGGTCTCAGATCTCCTGGCGGATCCAGAGACAGCATGGATTGTCTCTAATCCGAACCTCAACCTTTGGTATTGTTCTGATCAAATTTCAACATTTAAATAACATTTCAGTTCGGTACTCACAATTATCAGGCTAGGAAGCAATTGCTCCGCCATGACCTACATGATATCTAATGGAACTCGCCTGAACCTGGTGCTTTCGCACCCTGATGCGAGTGATACTTCAAACATGTCCCAGGAAGAACTAACCGAGGAGATGTTGTCGTATTTTCATAATTGGGATCCGATGTATGACTATTGAATGCCCGAAAAGCAACATTTGACCTAGTAGTTGACTAACACAGTAGGCTCTAGGCTGATGAAGATTGTACGAAAGAAGAGATCAATTCATAATTGGCCCCTTTTTGAGGCAGACCCTCTCAATAAATGGGTTTCTGACTCTGGGAAATTCATTCTCATTGGCGATGCGGCCCATGCCATGGTGCCATACTTATCAATGGGTACGCTGCACTTCTTTCCTTTGATGCGGTATTATGATGGGACTAATCTTCGATCATCTGTTTCATTCCAGGTGTTACTATGGCCGTCGAGGATGCAGCTACATTAAGCAAAGCTCTCACATATGTGACTGACAAGCGTGATCTTCCACTGGTACTCCAGCTGGTTGAGACGTTACGTATTCGTCGGGCGAAACAAGTTCAGCAGGCGAGCCTTGCTAACGGGAGAGTTCTTCATCTTTGCGATGGCCCAGGGCAGGAGGCCAGAGACAATGCAATGCGGCCTTCCTTGGAAGGAATACCGCTTGAGAAAAGCCCCTACGGCATGACCGACCGAGAAACACAAGCCTGGTGTTATGGACATGACGTGCAGCTGGGTTTCGAGGAGGCCTGGGAGAAGATTGCTAGCGATCGCCGTGTTGACGCGTCGCTCTAAAATTTTAGGCCGAATCTCTTTGGATTATTCTAGATAGTTCCTCTCTGGTAAATTAATACATTTTTATAGGCGAAGCTGGGATATACCCTTGGGGTATTGTGATTATCTTGCGTATTATTGGTTCAGTTGATCAGGGTAATGAGTCCACACATGGCCCTGTACTGGTAGTATATCCCCCAGTAAGACTCGAGAATCAAGGGAACTGGGTTATAGGCACATGAATTACTTTCAGTGCCGTAATATAAACTACCATATGGTTACATTACCTGCTATATGACTCCTTGATATAGTTGGACAACCCATACTTAGGATGGCAGACCCTTCTCGCGCGTGATAGTTTTTCCTCGGAAAATGTAGGTATGGTGCCATTTTCGAGAACCCACAACTGGGCCCTGTGGCTAACGCTAAATTTTTAACAAAGAAAGGACGAATGTAACGTTTTACAGGGTTCGTTAACCACCGAGAAGCTTAAGGTGGAAAGAATGCGAGGGTTATCAATCCTTCGGCGCGACCCACCTCGCAAGCCTTTCCATGGTGGTTGCCTCGGATTAATTAGAACCCAATCATGTCCTTCCTTGCAGCCCTAATTCAGTGGTATAATATTCGTTGTCCGGCGAAAAAGAGGCAGACGCAGCTAGTCCCAGCCACAATATGCAGGTGCCATAGCTTACACGTCAACAAATCTTAACGCCCCAGTGTATTTTAATCTATTCGGGCCGAATCGACCGGTCCATCTCTCCAGGATCATGTTCAACCGTTCGATCCTTGGTCAACGAGTAAATTTCTGCTGTACTAGTAGTGCTGTAGCATCACCATTGCAAAACATGGAAGGACCGTTGGCCCCTAAGTGTTCTTTCTGTCGTTCGCTCGTCAATATTGCTATATGCTTCTATCTCTAACACACATTTTCCTTTGTATCTCTTTTATTCCCCAGCATAATCAAGGTGAGCCTCAAGGCCAACGACCGTTTACATCAAGTGGCCTTGACGGAGCTAGGCAGAGATGCAGGATGCCCAGTCGTACAGCTACCGCGATTCCCTGAGACCATGGAGCATAGTATGTCAATCAACCTGCCTTGTCGCAAGTGCTCTAGTGATGGCTATGAGAATTTATACGAAGTTCTTCTTAAGGCGGTCCGCAAGCTGGGAAGACTGTATGTGCCGGATATTTGATGCAGGAAACAACAAGCTAACTGTGAATTGTGACAGATACTTGTCTCATTGCTTCAGTGAGTGTTCCAGTTGTGTGGCTTTGTTGTTATAGCCGAAAATGTGAACAGGGTGGAAAGGAATGCAAGTGAAAGCAAATGGGGCTTACGGTTCAATGACTAGGTCGGGTTTATAGGATATGCTACCATTGCTTTTGAAGCCGATAAGGTGGGGAGTGGTATCCATGAGGCAGAGGTTGCTAAAGAAGACCTTGTGAAATATGCAAAGGTAGGGCTATTCTATTTTCGAATCTGTGTCTTGTGGTGCAGATGCTGATCAGTCTTGTAATACAGCTTGCCAACGCGTCCCAGATTATGTACGGCCCCCTAATATTCATCACCAAGCTGTCCATCCTATTGCTTTACCTCCGTGTTTTTGCTCCAGCCAAGAAAAGCTGGATGTACATCTTTATCCACGGGCTTCTCTGGTTCAACGCCGCATTCTACCTGGCGGACACCCTTATCGAGATTTTTGCGTGCGTGCCTCGCGAGAAAATCTGGAACGCTGATGTACATGGACATTGCATAAATGTGAACATGATGATCCTTTCAACCGCTATCCTGAATACCATTTCAGACTTCTCGCTACTGATGCTACCCATATTCTGTGTCTGGCGCCTACATATGCGAAATACTCAGAAATTGGGTCTATCAGCCGTCTTCGCTGCTGGCCTCTTGTAAGTACCCAAGCGATACGGCATGCCTTGAAAAGCCTGAAGTTAAAAAATGCGCTGACCGAATGCCCAGCGCATGCTTTTCAAGCGCCATGCGCATTGGCATCAGTGTGCAAAAGAACAACACATCTGATAGGACATACGACTGGTTCCCAGAATTTCTTTGGACGTAAGGCTTTCCATTCCCTTCCAGCGACAGATGGAGTGTATTGACAATGGTGATCTTTACTAGATCTGCCGAGATTAGTGCCGGTATCATTGCTAGCTCGTTGCCTGCAGTCCCATCCTTCTTCCGCCATGTCAAGGGGAAGGTCGCCACAGCTATTAGTAGTGAGGTTAAAAGCTTGAGTAAATCAAACAGACACAGTCTGTCCAAAAGACAAATGTGGAGTTCTAACAAAGGATCCGGGTGGAAGAATGGCCACGGAGAGACCATACCACAAATGGAATATAATGAGCTGGATGAACTACATGAATGGCGATGCCGTGGCTCGCGACTGGTGGATAATGGCATCTATGCTGGCAGAGATGCGACTTCCATTGCTGACAGTCGTACAAGCCAGAAAGGTATTTTGAAAACTGTAGAAATAGACGTCGAAGAGACCGAGATTCGTTGAACCAATGCCTGTCTATAAATAGCGTTGCTTTTGTTTTCCTCGATCCATAAGGCTACGTTGCAAATGATGTACTTTGAAGTAGAGGGACCAAACAGCCTTGTTCTAAGCCAAAGAATACCATGCCTTGTGGTGTGTTAGGGACACTACCATGGTGGTGTCTCGACTCCATACTAGTTCACCCCGGTTTGCAGACGACCATAGGGTGTGGAGAAGAGGGCTTCCGTTTGTTCAGTTGTACTCAAGCCATTTATTGAACTTATTGAACGCAGCCAACTGGAAGTTGAGCCCTTTGCAAGTTGCTGTTTCACGGGTGAGCAGCGCTGCGTCATAGGAACCTTATCACCTTTTACAGTTGCTGCTGGAGAAGAACGGTGGGGCGGTCTTGGAGTCGAAGATTGAGTAACTACCGGATTATTTGAAGGCTACGAGGGCGATGGCGACGGGGACAGATGTTGAGATCAAGACGTGGGTTGCAATGTGCGTTATGGATGTACTCGTATGACCACGGACCTTCTAGCGAGACGAGGATCTGAACACTGCGGCCTGAAGCTGCGCTAGGTGAGGCAGCTAGTATGGATTACATTCAATTACTAGGAACCCTCTTGAAAATCGGAGGTATTAACATTGACGCATATCTTTAGACTCAACAGCGAGATCATGAAGGAATTGGAAGTTCAGAGTCCTTCGGTTCCCAAACAATCCCATGCTCTACAGAGAAGTAAAAGCAGTCGACCACCCTTTGCACCCAATCTTCTAGCATTCTGTCTTTATATTATATGATCATAAAGCATCATCGTGATTTGGCTTGAAATATGGAAAGTGCCAGAGGTTTATCGTCTCCTCATCCCTGCTGTCTTTTGTTCATCCGAACTTTCGCCATTATCCACTGCGTGGTCGCAATGAAAGCCAGTGGTTGAAGCATCCATCGCTAGTGACACCATGCCGTATCGAACTTGATATAGTAGCGGCGCAAGGTGCGGAACATTGGTGCACCCATAAAGAGCACAATGAAGGGAAGATCACCCGGGTTGTAGGCCAAATTGGTGAGCCTTGCATCAGCTGCCGCCCATTTCTCGAGACCTGAGAAGACAAAATGTAGGGCATAGTAACAAGGAGAAACAACCCTGGTCTAAACCCAAGGCCAGCCTCTAGTAATACAGTTGCAAGCGTGAGGCGCTCCAGGCCCTCGCCAGCAATGATCACCCGCATTGCTGTTGTGAGGTCTGGGTTTTGAGAAGTCAAAGAATTCAAACAAAGGAGCTGCAGCCGCGCGAGATGGGATGAGACTAGCCGTTACTAACGAGCCCATACATGGTCTAGAGTCTGCCTCATGGGAAAAATCACCCTATGACAGGAGACACGTATTTATGTGCATAACTGGGTAGTGACCCACTACCTAGTACACAGATAGCCTTGCATAATACATTCCATATCCTTGTCGTACCCCCTGATCCTAAACAAAGAAAACGTGAGCATTCAGCTCATCCTCGCCTCACAAAATGCAGTTGCAACTCCAAGAATCCTCCTGTTTTCATCCTCATGCAATTCCTGGCATTTTTGACCAACATAGATGACTGCCACTGCCCCCTTCAATGATTGCTGGACTACCTCACCATGCCAAGCCGCGACCTTGGAGACCAGCAAGCATCCTTCCAGGCAGGCCAAGACGCCACGCCCACCAGCCCTCCCTTGAACCGAGTCGGCTCAGCGCCAGCAGATACAGACAGAAACGAGGAAGATGATGACCCGTTCAAGCATCTGCCTGAGCACGAGAGGGTCATCCTCCAGAGGCAGTTGGATCTGCCCGCCACCCAGGTCAGTTATATGACGCTGTACCGTTACGCGACACGAAATGACAAGGTCATCCTGGTCATCGCCTCACTCGCAGCAATCATCGGCGGTGCACTCATGCCTCTGATGACCGTCCTGTTTGGAGGTCTTGCAGGCACCTTCCGCAGCTCCTTACTGGGTGACATATCTGACAGCCACTTCACCAGCGAGCTTGCTAGATTCTCTCTGTACTTCCTCTATCTCGCTATTGGCGAGTTCGTGATGGTGTACTTGGCCACGGTGGGTTTCGTGTATGCTGGTGAACACATCACAGCAAAGCTTAGAGAGCAGTTCTTGGCCGCCATTCTGAGGCAGAATATTGCTTTTTTCGACGAACTCGGCGCGGGGGAGATCACCACACGTATCACAGCAGACACCAATCTTGTCCAGGAAGGTATCTCAGAGAAAGTGGCATTGACCTTGACAGCTGTCGCCACCTTTGTGGCCGCCTTCGTCATTGGCTTCATCACATACTGGAAGCTCACGCTGATTCTGTGTTCTACTGTCGCCGCCATTGTTGTTACATTGGGCGCCGTGGGTTCGTTCGTCGCCAAGCTCAGCAAGAAATATCTCGCCCATTTTGCTGCTGGAGGAACGGTTGCGGAAGAGGTCATCAGCTCGATCCGAAATGCGGCAGCGTTCAATACTCAAGAAAAGCTGGCTCGACGATACGATCGGTACCTCGTCGAAGCAGAGAAGTCCGGGTTCAAGCTCAAGTCCACCACCAGCTCAATGTTTGCTTTTCTCTTTCTGTACGTACAGCGAGTGGCACAACGTCTCGCCACTCAAATGATGGTTTTTGAATTACCTCAAACAGCCGAGTGTTCTGACTTCTTTTTTTTCAAGGTACATCTACCTCAACTACGGACTGTCTTTCTGGATGGGCTCCCGCTTCCTTGTGGATGGGTCCGTTGGATTATCGCAAATTCTCACTATTCAAATGGCTATCATGATGGGGGCTCTTGCCCTCGGGAATATTACACCGAATATTCAGGCCATCACCTCAGCAGTCGCCGCAGCCAACAAGATCTACACAACCATTGATCGTGTCTCTCCTCTCGACCCTTCCTCGACCGAGGGGCAGAAGCTAGAGGAACTGCACGGAAATGTGGAACTGAAGAATATCAGACACATATACCCTTCCCGCCCCGACGTTGTTGTGATGGATGACGTGAGCTTGATGATTCCCGCGGGCAAGTCTACGGCGCTTGTTGGGGCTTCAGGGTCTGGGAAAAGCACTATCGTCGGGCTAGTGGAGCGTTTCTACGATCCTGTCGGTGGATGCGTACACATTGACGGCCATGATATCAAAGACCTGAATCTACGCTGGTTGCGACAACAAATTTCTCTGGTGAGCCAAGAGCCTACCTTGTTCGCTACTACGATATTTGGCAATATCAGGCACGGTTTGATCGGAACAGCGCACGAGCATGAGTCTGATAAAGCAATTCGTGAGCTGGTCGAGCGTGCTGCTCAGATGGCAAACGTAAGACAGGCAAATGCCCTGATGCCCTGCCTCAAACACCCTCTCTACTCGTACCATAGGCGATACGATGTTCTGACCTCGTTGCTTTTCAGGCCCATGACTTCATCACCTCCCTTCCCGAGGGCTATGAAACCGACATTGGCGAACGAGGGTTCCTTCTCTCCGGAGGTCAGAAACAGCGTATTGCCATTGCTAGGGCCATGGTTAGCGATCCTAAGATCCTGCTACTTGATGAAGCAACATCCGCACTCGACACGAAGAGCGAGGGTGTTGTTCAAGCCGCACTCGACAAAGCTGCGCAGGGACGAACCACCGTGATCATTGCTCACCGACTGTCCACTATCAAGAATGCGGACAAGATTGTGGTGATGTCCCACGGACGTATTATCGAACAGGGCACCCATGATGACCTTCTTCAGAAGAAAGCGGCTTACTTCAACTTGGCCGAGGCTCAACGAATCGCGATGCAGCAAGAGTCTAGAAACCAAGATGAAGATCCTATAATACCTGAAACCGATTACGATTTACGGGGACCCGTTTTCAATCAAAATCGCTACAGAATAGACAAAGAGGATCTAGGAACAGACCCTGATGTACTTCAGGTGGACAAGACACGATCAGACAAGACCGCATCGAGAACGGCACTTCCACAGGAGGGACAGGAGGATATCGCCGACAATTATACCTTATTCACGCTGGTGCGGTTTGTCGCTGGCTTGAACAAAAAAGAATGGAAATATATGGTATTTGGACTTTTACTCTCGCCCATTTGGGGTGGATGTAATCCAACACAAGCTGTCTTCTTCGCGAAGTGCATTACAGCCCTTTCGCTTCCTCTTTCAGAGCGCTCTGAGATACGGCGACAAGCCAACTTCTGGTCACTGATGTATTTGATGCTCGCCTTTGTACAGCTGCTCGTTATCATCTCTCAGGGCATTACGTTCTCTTACTGCGCAGAGCGACTTACCCATCGGGTTCGAGACCGAGCATTTCGATATATCCTCCGGCAAGACATTGCCTTTTTCGACAAACGTTCCTCGGGCGCTCTCACTTCTTTCCTGTCCACTGAGACCTCCCACCTGGCTGGGCTGTCTGGGATTACTCTTATGACGATTTTATTGATGGTCACCACTTTAATTGCCTCCTGCACCATTGGTTTGGCCGTAGGGTGGGAGCTTAGTCTGGTGTGCATGTCCACCATCCCCCTCCTTCTCGCTTGTGGGTACTTCCGTTTGTCCATGCTGGTCCGACTCGAGAAGGAGAAGAAGAAAGCTTACGAACATTCTGCAAGCTATGCCTGCGAGGCCACTTCAGCCATCCGAACCGTGGCTTCCCTGACCCGCGAGAGGGATGTTTGCAATCACTACCACGAACAGCTCCTCTCACAAGGTCGTAGGCTAGTGTGGTCGATTCTCAAGTCATCCGTTCTTTACGCGGCATCTCAATCGCTTCAATTTCTTTGCATGGCTCTCGGCTTTTGGTATGGAGGTACCTTGTTCGGCCGACACGAATATTCCATGTGGGTAGATGACAGTCCCCTCAACAAACGTCAGAGTAGTTCTAACCCTTATATTCAGGTTCCAATTCTTCCTGTGTTTTAGCGTAGTCATCTTTGGGGCGCAGTCCGCAGGGACCATCTTCAGCTTTGCACCGGATATTGCCAAAGCCAGACACGCTGCTGCTAGTCTCAAGGCTCTCTTCGACCGGAGACCGGAAATAGATAGCTGGAGCCATGATGGCGAGATGGTCCAGAAAATAGAAGGCCATGTCGAGTTCAGAGACGTGTACTTCAGGTATCCGACGCGAGCAAATCAGCTGGTTCTGCGAGGTCTCAATCTGCACGTCAAGCCGGGGCAGTATGTTGCGTTCGTTGGAGCTAGTGGATGTGGCAAGTCCACTGCAATTGCCCTCCTCGAGAGATTCTACGATCCAGCCCTCGGCGGTATCTATGTCGACGGCAAGCCCATCTCGTCCTTCAACATCAACAAGTACCGCTCCCATCTCGCACTTGTCAGCCAAGAGCCAACGCTCTACCAAGGTACCATCCGCGAGAATATCATGCTGGGGACTGACCGAGAGGACGTTACGGAAGACGAGATGGTGCTATGCTGCAAGAACGCCAACATCTACGATTTCATCATCAGTCTGTCAAACGGTTTCGATACCCTTGTTGGTAGTAAGGGCAGCTTGCTGTCAGGTGGCCAGAAGCAACGTCTTGCAATCGCTAGAGCATTGCTCCGCAACCCCAGAATTCTGTTGCTAGATGAGGCCACTTCTGCTCTCGATTCAGAGTCTGAGAAGCTCGTGCAAGCTGCTCTGGATACCGCAGTTAAAGGCCGCACGACGATCGCCGTGGCGCATCGTCTCAGTACGGTGCAAAAGGCAGACATGATCTACGTCTTCAACCAAGGCCGCATCATCGAGTGTGGAACTCATTCTGAGCTGATGCAGAAGCGGTCGGCATACTTTGAGCTCGTCGGCTTGCAGAATCTGGGCGGAATGTGAATTTTCTTCCTGGGGACCCCGATTCTCTAGCGGTTCTAAGCGCTCGGTCGGATAGTGACAGTCGAATTGCTGCTTTTTCTTTTTCTTTTTTTTCGGTGCCTAATGACGATGGTCATCCCATGATCTTTACCATTCTTGGTTATTTCTCTTTTCTATCACTAGATAGTAATAATGCTGTTAGTCCTTGTCTGTGACTAGTCCGTATCACGATTCCACGACATCTCGTAGTTTAGTTTCTGACATGAGGGCATTGGAACAAAAAGGCCGTGAGCGCGTCGCGAAGACAGCCTTTTCTCTTGCGCCCTCACGATGGCCAAGGTGATCGCTCACCCCAAATTGCTTCTCAAGCCAGCCTCAACAGTAATCAAACATATCCATGCGGTCTTCACCATACGAACCTATACACAGCGTCTAGCTACACACAATCGCTCCTTAGGCCTCGGGTCCTACAAGTCAACGGATTTCGGCTCTCGTTCTACAGTAACTGCAGCTATGTAAATTGTCTGGATCAAACCAATAATAAGCCCACTCCTATAAAGACATCGCCTTCTATCCAACTATTCCTGAATTGACCTGTATATTCTGCAGGGCTCCTGGATCCCTAAAACCCGGTCCCGTTTATATAAATCCTGGTTCCAGGCCTTCCTACAGAGGCCCTTGCTTGAATTATGTACCCCAAGAGCAATATTCTATCTATGTTCTTCATCATGACAGGTACTGTTTTTGATGCTTTTCACTTTCCGCTCCTGAGCTTTCAATTTAACAGTAGTTGTTATCTATCTACAGGCTAGGAGATAATTGAGCACTTGATAACAACACCCTATGAACATCTCGTAGCCGGTGACTATCTGTTTCTTTAAGCCAGGGAGTCAGAAAATAGAACCTATACCTTGGCCTCAATAATGACTGTAGAAGCACAATGGACTGTAAGATTGAGCCTTTATCAGAAACTAAGGCTGCTGAAACCGTCCGCAGCTGTCTTTTAATGCATATGACAGCTCCTCATAATTAGCGTGGAGTATCCTCTTTGTATCCAACGTTGGTCGGGTATCACGGCATATCTATATTTAAACCAGAATTCCAGGACAGTTGGTCTAGTATTAGCTCAACGAAATACGACAAAGGAGACGAGATCAAAGAGTTTGCCCGAGTGCAACAGGATTGCGTGTGGAAGGCTTCAACAAATGTCCATACAGATCTTCACCAATGAGGCTTGTTAGAAACATATCGAACTCATCGAGCTCGGTGATGAACAGCGTGCCTACCAATGTCCAGGGCTTCACCTAAAGCCTTTAGGGCCTGCATGAATAATGAGTATATCTCTTTTCTACTATCATTACCAACCTTGGCTGACCTTGAAAGCGTCTTCACCTCATTGCAGCTGAAGATAGCGGTGACTGTCATTTATAGCTCTACTGTATAAATCTCTTTTCAAAGAAAAAAAGATCTAATAAATATAGAATTAAATATAAATCAACCAGCATAAAGGAAACTCCAAATGGAGATTTATTCTGCCTACAACCACCCTGGTCAAAAGCCAACCCTAGACCCAAACAAACACACCGCTGGGCTCGGTGCTTGTCAAGCGTTCTCCCAATAATGAAGGAAGCTGAGATAACAGAGCTTGAATCAATGAGGAATAACGAGTTATGAGGTATAGATGCCACTTACTTCCATCCAGATTCGGGAATGAAATAAACCGGCAATCATAGGGTGATGTTCAACGACTATCCATACCATATATGTCAGCCGTCTCGTTTTGAATGCTTATAAGCCACTATTTTGAGGGTTCGTATCACCAATTCATGCAATCATCTATATACCATACGTATCAGCTCCTGTTTTCAAGTGGCCCTGGATCATGGACCTTGGCCGAAGGAGTCGATACTTACCACACCTATATCCTATATCACATATTTTAGCTCTCCGTGTCTAAGTAATGATATTTTATAGATATCTGGCGTCAGGCTAAACAAAGTAATTTTACCAAAAGGCCAACATTCCCCTCGCGGGCCCTAAAACCTACTAAGTACTGCACTAGATAGCCCAAGGTGCTGCGTGCCTTAGAAAAATGACCAATCTAACCCCTTGCGTGGAATTCCCGCGGAGGAAAGGTGTCCGTAGATCTAGCGAGGGGGTGAATGATGTATATCATATCCTACTTCTCTGTGCACACTCCTTCAAAAAGCTCTATGTAGTTAGCGGGTGCTCTCAGGAAGAAGAGGTATTGAGCCCCCCTAAATTCCATTTTTCCACCCTTGAACATGAGACATTCTATTTTGCCATCCTCTTCGCAGAGCGATTAAAAAGCTGCATACTCTCGTAGCTTTGACACCATCACCTAGGTATATCTTATCTTCTGGTAGTAAAGGCATTGTGGTCACTAGAATTGGGCTGCGCCTCTCAGCTGGGTCTATGCCTATCGGCTCCAATTCCTTCGAGTTAATCGGCAAATACCTCATTTCGACAAAAGACCATGTCAGCGACTACAAGCATCGGCAAAGAAGACGAGCGACAACCTCTCTCAAATGAGTCGGATTACTTCGATCCGGAGGAACCACCATCATCGGTCCAACGCTGGAAATGTATAGCCTATTCACTTGCCATACTCTCAGTTGTCCAGTTTCTCTATACAATCTCGCCGAAACATATTCCCACCACAAATACTTACGAGACCGGTTTCTCGACAGACTTTGACGATGTAAAGCCACATATTCGGCTGGAAGAACGGAGATTCAGCTCGGCAATCCGGGCCACAGAAAACGGAACCTTATATCGCGTTGACGATCCCCGCGAAAAGCGATATACGGGGAACTACCCGCCGGAGGAGATTAATGCGTCCTGGGAGGAGTTGATAGGAGAGCGATATTTTCTGTTTGAGCAATATGAGATTGAGCAGATGAATCAAGATACGTCCGAGTCCGAGCTAGAGCCCCTCAAGAAAATGACAAAGAGTGTTGTTGTCCCGCAGGACGGTGTTTATGGAGGTGTGGATGTGATGCATTCATTGCATTGTCTAGACATCTTGAGGAGACGCATCAGGCCTGGGGGACCCATGGGCCACTACCATTCTCTCCCGGGTGAAATCGAGGAGATGCATGTTGGTACGTTGTTTTTAGATATTTTGTGGTCTCGTATGAAGATGGTAGGGGCTAATTGAAGCATTTTAGATCATTGCATCGATCAGCTGCGCCAGACAATCATGTGCTCCGGAGATCTGACCCCGGTTACACTGAAACCCGTCGTTCAGACTCGAGAAGGCAGGCGATATCTGACCCTCTTAGGGGAGACGGAGCGCACGCATACTTGTCGGGATTTCGAAACTGTCCAACAATGGGTACGGTCCAGAGGCAAGAAGGCAGCCGTTCAGCACGTGTGATTTGACTTGGGCGAGACAGTACAGTGATGATGTTTACCTACAGGTCCAAGCTAGGGACTGTCTACACCTCCTTTACTGTTAGGCACGCGCTTGTATGTATTATTTAAATAGTCCATAATCCCACTACGCCAGTTTAAAAGAAGCATGTCATGGTATGCAGGAAGTAGATCCTAGCCAAGTTGACCGCTCCAGGAAAAGTACAATTGCCGATGCATGATGAAAATACAATAAATATCTATTTCACATGAGACCTCCTTCTAGGGTTATAACTTTATTCCCTTACTAGTGACAGTCTGCCCATTTTTGGAACTGAGTGCTTATCAGAAGATAGACCCAGTGCTGATTTCAACTATCTAAGCTAGGTCCATCCGCATCGTTGTTGTAGGACAGAAAGGCTACATCGAGCCCAGTATGTAGACGATCTTTGATCTTCGCTGTAGGTTCCTTAGCGATGGCCAAAAGCATCCCAATATCTCCAAGGCTGCGGTGGGATAAGTCGTCCCTATTCGAGGGATACCGGCTCCGATGATTCTGTCACTCTTGCCTTCATTGCTAGTCTTGTTCAGTAGCCAGTGATAGCTTACCACGAATTTCCAAGGCTCTAAGTATTCCCAGTGCCACCACAAGTTCTATTCCACCGATGCCGGATTAACGTCGTTAATCGGTTAGCCGGGAGGCCCAATCACTAGTCTTTTAAGGACATCAGGTAAGTACTAGTAGCACTGTTTTCCTAAGAATCGTTTCTTCAAGGCTGATGTAGCACCTGAGGTCAAACCACCACCTTACTAGCCCTAGGTGTGATATCCGAGGCACATGGATAGCAACTGGAAACAGTCAAAAGTTCAGTTGTATGAACAACCGTGTCTTAATATTGGTGGCTCCGTTCGACTGGCTGTTGGTCCATGACCTTCAGTACACACATAAAGTGGTCATCCATGATTACTGAACTTATTAATTAATGAATAGTCGCCGAGCCGGGGCGATTATTTGCCGAAGGGACGGTACCTCGTGGGTCCCTCCACGCGATAAAGAAACATTAGTACGATTAGCGCTCCGTTTGACTTTTCCCCAAAGGTCTCATTGGCTGTGTCGGGTGCTCTACACAATTCCTTCACCGTCGATTGTGTGGTTATTCAGGAACTCGTAGGCCATTCGTCCACGTAGCTGCCCTTTGATCGAGGAACCGTGTTTTCCATAAACTTTGACCCCATACTTGTTCCTAGTGGAATTTTGAGGAAGTAGTGAGAAACAATCATGTTCAAAATAAACGTATGTGGGCGCGTGAAGGACCTTCCAGGGGAAGTGATGTCATTCATCCTCAGCTGCCCCACTATACCCTATATAAGGTCGACCTGGACCCAATTCTTGAGGGTTTACAAGTCAACACAGAAAAACCCACACAATTCACACATCCCGACAAAATGGCTCCCAAGGTGCTCGTTGTTCTTACCTCCCAGGCCCGGATTCCGGACCACGACCACGCCACCGGATGGTACCTGGTATGTATTACCCCGCCATGGACACCGGTCTATCGAGCAGGTCTAATGCGAAGTTCTAGCCCGAGTTCGCCCATCCGTGGGAGGTCCTTCATGAGAAGGTCGAGCTCACCGTCGCGTCCCCCAAGGGTGGTGAGGCTCCCCTCGACCCCTCGTCGGTCGAGATGTTCGGAAGCGACCCCGTGTCGGCGAAATTTCTGCAGGAGCAGCAGTCGCTCTGGAAGAACACCCACAAGCTGGCGGATTTCCTGCCTCGCGTTTCGGAATTCGATGCGATTTTCTATGTCGGTGGCCATGGACGTAAGGAACCCTTCGTTTTCACTTTGGCAGCGGGGATCGAACTGACTGACCGCGATTAGCTATGTTTGACCTCCACTACGACGAGACCTCCCTTGCCCTGATCCAGGCTTTCGCTGCCGCTGGAAAGCCCGTCTCTGCTGTCTGCCACGGCCCGACCGTATTCCTCAAGGCGACCACCACAGCCGGACAGCCCTTGCTGGCCAACTCCACCGTCACGGCCTTCACCAACGTCGAGGAAGACCAGGCACAACTGACCGAGCTCATGCCATACCTGGTCGAGACGGAGATGAACAAGATCCCCGGATGTAAATTTGTGAAGGCCGATCAGCCGTGGGGCGAGAAGGTGGTCGTCTCCAAGACCTCCGACGGTGCGACTCTGATCACCGGTCAGAACCCGGCCAGTGCGACGGGCGTTGGAAAGGAGATCCTGAAGGCGCTGGGACTTTAAGATTACTAGTATATGCCGATAATTCATGAAATATATGATTGTTATGAGAAGTAAAATGATCATCTTCTTCATTTCGCTTCATTTGGTTTTTTCTTCCGTCGGAATCCGACGGTTCAATGTATATCTAACACGCAGACCACCCTGACAGCGCTGATCCCCCCCATTCTGCTTGTCCGTGGGCGAATCAGCCGTACTCAATACCGAGCGTGGTTTTCAACCACCGGAGATACAAAGGACGGGGGGGGACTGATAAGCACCCCGCTCCAATATGCTGAAGAGCTCCCATTTGGGGAATCGACAGGGCGGTTCAGGTACTAAATTAGCCAAGACCCTAGCCGCGGCCAAAGGCGTTGCGGCATTGCAGAATGTGTGCTGCTGGATTGCATTCGCGCATGTACGCCAAGAACCCGTCCGCGCACATGGTGTTTTGACTGGCTTCAGCAACGTTACACCCCGGCAGATGAAGAGAGATGCAAGGGATGGAGCTGATCGCCCGGCAGCGGCATATTTAAAGGCCGCCAGCACGATGTGTGTTGTAAACCGTGCGCGCTCTTCCATATCCATCTTCCTCGGCCTGTCGCATCATGGTCCACTTCACCGTCCTGGCCCTTTTGGCCCTTCCCTTCGTGAATGCCATCCCTGCCCCGGCTCCAGTGCCAACTCCCCCGGGCATCCCAGCGACAACCACAGCAGAGAATGAGCTGGCTGGATTAACCGTCGCTGCTCAGGGCCCGCAGGATGGCTATGACCGGGATTTGTTTCCCCATTGGATCAGCCAGGGCGAGTATGTATTGTCATCCATTCTTGAAGGATAAATGTCTAAAAGACTTTACAAAAGTTCATGCGATACCCGTGAAGTCGTGCTTGCCCGCGATGGCGAGGACATCGTAAAGAACGACTCCTGCTCTCCCACTAGTGGGACATGGTACTCGCCGTACGACGGAGAGACCTGGACGGATAAGAGCGATCTAGACATCGACCATGTTGTACCGCTTTCCAATGCCTGGAAGGTAAGTCTATCTGCCACCATCCAGACAAGGGACTGATTGCGATCTGACGCTTAATGAAATTTATCAGAGTGGAGCGGCAGACTGGACCACGGACCAACGTCAAGCCTTTGCCAATGACTTGACGAACCCCCAACTAATTGCGGTGACAAACTCCGTTAACCGCCAGAAGAGCGACGATGGACCGGAGGAGTGGAAGCCTCCTCTGGGTAAGTTCGTCCCAACCTTTCCATCTAGTCGTGTGCTGACTGTGTAGCTTCGTATTATTGTACCTACGCAAAGATGTGGGTGCGGGTCAAGTCGGTGTACAACTTGACTATTACGCAGGATGAGAAGAGTGCTCTGGTTGATATGCTTGACTCGTGTTAGTGGTGATACTGTATATACTGATCATAATATCACGTGTTGTCGGTCCACCGTAGTGTGGCCATGATATAGTATGGATGAATTTAAATAGCAGTCCCGCTATACAATTGTTTGCAAACCCTTCCCCTGCCGTGATTTTCAGGTGGAGCTTATCCTATTATACTGTCCTCACATTTGCCCCGATTTTCAGTTTAGTGGTATACCTATGTCTATCTGTAGATACATACGCCAGTACATCAACGTTTGTCAATGAGGGCAGTCCATAATCACATCGAGTTCCTCCGGTTGCGGTATCATCATGAGGGAAACTATATATCAACGCACCAAGGAAATAAAAGTACTATACGAATAAAAGGTTCTTGAAAAAGCCGAATGTATGTCTAGATGGTAGGGTACACAATTGCACCAATTGTCCAGTCTCATAAAACAGCATTCCGAGTATTGGTCCACAGTAACATAGGTATCTCGTAATATAGCATTCAATAGTATGCAGCATGCCCAGGATTAGATTGCGATCCAGGATTGTATGGTGGTCCAGCATTATGCTGCGGTCCAGCGTTAAATTGTGGCCCAGTATTGAATTGTGGCCCAGCATTATACTCTGGTCCAGCATTGGGTTGCGGTCCAGCATTGTATTGTGGCCCTTGATTTGGAGGCGGCTGAACCTGAGCCATCTGAGTGCCCGCAAGATCGGCATATTGGAGATCGCTAGGACTTGGCCCCGTTGCCATGTTCACCCCCGAGGGTGTCTGCTCGAACTGTACATCATCACCTTGCGCCGCTCGAACTGTGTGCGTCAACATTTTCACCGAGGGATTGTCGACCCAGGCGTGGCCACTCAGAATTTCCTTGGCGGGCAGCTTTCGACCGTAGAATCGTTCGTTCTCATCGATACGCTCGATGACGACCGTTCCATCAATCTGCACACCCGCGTAGAATCCTCGGCTCTTGACATAAGTCCAGATCGGGGCCCGCCGTTTATGCACTTCCGACTCTAGCACACCACCTATTCCAACCGGCCCAGCAGCGACACTGATCTCGCTTCCGAGAGTAACCCGGACCTTCGTAAATGCCTCCAATGCCTCATAGGTATTAATCACCATCACACAGTCGTAGATGTCGGCACCGACCAGAAACCCCAACCCGGCCGTATGCAGCAGGATACCCGACGGCGCACTCCATTCACCAGTTTCGGGTATTCTGCTAATAAGAACACCACTACCGCCCGCACCGCTGAACCATAGCCCCGTTCTCATAGCCGTAAAGATAGCCAAGCCCTTCGCCTGTCGGATCACTTCGGAGGGGATCTTCTGCAACACTTTTGGCTTTCCTCGCGGTTTGTCGATCGGCGGCTTTCCTCCTTTCGTTTCCGGTACAGGGGTGCTTTCTTTGGATTCCTCGACATAGACGCCATCTTTGCAGAAGCTCTGGAGAATGCGGGCCACCTTCTCACTTTCTTTGTCTAGTGTCATGGGCCAGAAAGCCTCTGAGCCGAGCTTATTCGTCAGGCGGTTAACGGGGGGCCCGAGCTTGTCCAGTGCATCCCAGGCTTTGTCGAAGTTTTTCTTGCCGAGGACTTTTGTTTTGCTCCATATGGAGTTTTGCTTGCTTGATGCTTGTGCCATGGTGAGATGCGATACTTGTGTTTGTCTATAGTTCTGGGTCCTTTTGGTGGGGAGGGAGAGAGGTTAATTGGGTTAAGTTGTCAGAGATATTATTCAAAAAGAAGGAAAGCCGGTGATAAAAAGCAGGGTATCGTTGGAATTTATTAGTCTCCAGCACGACAGGGAAAAGTTCTAGGCAACGCAGTGAATCAAGAACTGCCGAGCGGGGCAGCATTCATGATCCCAACAGCTAAGCATTTCCCCTGGCGCAGTGATTGGTGATGTGCGATGGTCAAGCCTCCACATCCGACGGGATTCGCGGTCGCTCCACTCTTCCATTCGCGGGAATTTTTCGTATTCTGTGCTATAAAAAGCTCTTTCATTGTTCCGGGAGACGCCGGCCATTTTCGAGGACAATGACATCTATGCAGGGCGTCTAACCCAGCTTAGCGCCCCAGCACTTCAGGTACTCCGCGGCACGTCCTTAAATTAGCGAGTACTAGCCTATGTACGAATACAAGAGTTCAACCACCGAAGATCGATCATGATGCGGGGAAACCCCATTTCTTCTATCACTGTGACGTGGTTGGCAAAGGAAGCTTCCGATGTAGTCGGGACACGATCTCCGGATAATCCTCCTCGTCCTCGGCCGTAATAAGACCATGTCGAACGAAGAAGTCCACGAGAACACTGGCGCTGGCCGGCTTGAATCTACCGTTCAACATGGCCTCCTTCACTTCATTCGTGTCCATCAGATGAAAGGCGTATACATCGTCATCGACCACGTTGAAAACCACCTCTGAGTCGACTTCAAGGTCATAAACATAGAGCACCCCCGGGTTGATGAGCCCCGGGTGACCACCAGATCGCTCATCGCTAATACTGACCCAGTTCACGGTACCTGCGGCCCGTACATTCTTCCTAATCAGGTCTTCCGGCATCGCGGCCTCCTCCGATGCCTCGCGAATCAAGCACTCTAACGGCTGCTCTCCGATGGCCATACCACCCGCCACAGTATTATCCAACAACCCTCCATAGGCCTTGTTAAACTGTCGCTGCGGAATCCAAAACTTCAGCCCGGACTCCGTCCGAGTGTACACGGTCAGATGTACCCCACGACCTATGATACCAAGGTACGAGAAGAAACTTCGGTCAATCCCCACGGGAAACTTGGCCCCGACAATCGGGAACTGCTCGTGCCTCCTTTTCCCGAATTTAGGAAACACGCCTTTCTCGCGCGCAAGTTCCGCTTGTCGCTCAATGATTTCCGCGCATTTCTCTTGCCAGTTGGCGCCCTCGGGCCGAATCAGGTGCACTTCTTTTTTGGGGGCAGGAAGCACCCGGAAGTCTGCTGTCCATGGCATCTGCTCTACCACGGCATCAATCAAGAGACCGTGTGGCCTGGGATCTTCCGGGAGATAGAACTTCCATAGTGAGGCCTGTACTTGCGGGTGTGCGGAATCTGTATCTTCCGCGTAAGGAAAGCTGGGCAGTTTTTAGCGGGGTTATATGGGGCTGTTTGGAGTGCGCTTACTTGTCGCAATCCTTTACAACATCTAGTAAGGTCTTCATCGTGGCTGATAGATAATTGCTGCGCGTCTCGGTTCTGGGTTATCGGGGATGAGCGCATACATGCGGGGCGCGAAACTGGTAAGGAAAAACTATGTTCCCATGCCGAGGCGGTTCTTGTGGTGTATTTCATCATGGATTTACAATACTTTTGCACTGCCAATTGGCTGTCTCTTGTGTTGATGTATGGTGTATACGGAATACTCCCAGGCCAGTGAAGCAATGAAACCGGGTATTAGCTGGGAAGTGGCATAAAGCCGACATGGTACCTCCGCCGCACCACCTAGGCGAGGCGAAGTTGCCAAAGGATTGCAATAAATTTAATTATGAATAGTATCGCATTTCGTGATTGCAAGCTTCATGGTATTCAAAGATATCAAGTGTCCAATTTAAAAGCTTCTGGTGCTGTTGCCGACCTGATGGCGGATGAACCGCTGGTGTTGGCCTCGAAGGGGATGGGCCCCAAAAGTAAACAGTTATCTCACGCTATAGACATTTAGAAGCTTCTAAGACGTCATTGCCATTTATGTGATATGCATGACTGGTTTGTATGTGGGTATACAAACACTTAGTAGCCATGTGAGATTGTAACTGGAAGAAAACTTCGTCCCTGAGGAAAAATATATAACCCACTGGAACGAAATGTATACAACACAATTCACCCTGGGATAAAGGAAAGGCATGAATTTAACACATGAATAAGCCGTCGATAGCGTTCTTGCAGCATTAAGGGACAAAATATACCTCATCTATCGACCTATATGCCGTTATGGTAGGGCATGAGGATGGGGATGAACATCCAATGCACATGTCAATCCTGTAATACGCCCTGACCTTAGCTTTGGCTTATGTAGTCAAAAAAGAAAGCGTTCTTCAACAAGTAGCCGGGCTAGCTCAATCGGTAGAGCGTGAGACTCTTAGTCGTCACGGTATCTCAAGGTTGCGGGTTCGACCCCCGCGTTCGGCTTCTCTTTTTGTTCCGTTCCTTTCCGGGACGGGATTGTCTTTTTAAGCACCTAAAAGCTGACCGACCAAGCGCCTCTGGAGGAGGCAGTGATGGTTCTGTTGTCCTTTTTATTTTTTTCATCTTTACCGCATTCCACTGTTTACTACCAGTAGCCCAGTTATCGAATATTGTCTTTACACACTGTCATTATTGAATGTTGATTGGAACTCATGAAATCAATAGCTGCGTTCGCTAGGACTTAGCTAGCTACCAAGATTTTGTCTCAGTTGGATATAATATCTGCAGCTTTCTCTGCAATTGCATATACAACTGCCTGGTAGTGCGCTGTTATTGGCAAAGGTATGATGCTGGCATCGACAACCCTGAGACCCTCAACGCCTTTTACACGGAGTTCAGTATCTACAACATTCCCCATCGACGCTGTGCCCGCTGGATGATAGAATGTGTTCCCTCCTTGTTTCACTTGGGCGTCGATGTCTTCGTCTGTAGAGTCGGGCCCTAGCGGGTTAAAACCAGGATGTGGCGTTTCACATTCGACGATCGCTCTGCCTTCAGGTGTCTTTGAGAGAACTTCTGTTACCTGGCGAATGGCGGCCCGAAGGATCGCACGATCAACTTCAGTCGAATAATAGTTTGGATCGATAAGAGGTGGAGTCATTGGATCGCTCGACGCTATGGTAACATGTCCTCTCGAAGTGGGGACCATGTTTAGTATAGCTGATGCAACATGGGTGCCATCCATCGGGATATCAGCGCCAGCAACAGCTGCACCAGCAGGGGCGTAAACAACGAGAATCTCGGCATGGCAGGAATCAGGGGCAAGATACGGATGCTTTTCAAGAGCCGATTCGCTCTCACCATCAGCTATCAATGCTTCCATCAACACCTCACGTGGAGTTTGCACAGTGACATTCCAGTCAGCCGGGAGACCTATCGCATATGCTGGGCTGTTCCATAACGGAGTACCCATAGACAAGCCTTGCTCCGGATGCCGAAGTTTCCACCACCGCACAAACGAGAAGTGGTCATGAAGGTTGCAGCCGACCCCCGGCACATTGACAAGCTGCGTGATATTGTGGTTCGCAATCTCTGCCGGTCCAATCCCAGAGAGCATCAGCACCTGTGGTGTGCGATATGCACCCGCCGAGACAATAACTTCTCGTGATGCGAAGTACTTCTCTCCGCCTACCACTTCTACCCCGGTTGCGACTTTCTCTGTCTTGCCATCCCGATCCTCGAGGATAACTCGCCTTACCATGGTCTCGGTCATGATGGTAATCCCAGAACAGTTAAGGACACCATATGCCTCGCTCGAGATCTGTCGTTGGCCTGCACGCCAATTTTCCACTAACTCTCCCAGCCCTAGCGGCGATCCCGCGTTTGCATCCGGCACATATTCCACACCGACCCTGGCCCAAGCCGCCCGCAGCGGCTCCCTCAAAGGGTACTTGCGTTCGGGGCTACTAGAAGAGACCGAAGTATTGTGTATCGGTCCATCGGTACCATGCATAGCCGAATCAGCCTTTGCGCCATCGAAATGTGTTTCAGTTCTCTTGAAGTACGGCAGCAGGCCTTCGTAACTCCAGCCATCATCGCCGACTAACTTCGCCCAGCGGTCATAGTCGGCAGCATTTCCGCGAGTCCAGGTACCATAATTTGTGGCAGAACCACCCCCGAGAGCCTTGCCGGCGCTGTTGTAGCATTCTCGGCCGTTGAGATGCTTCTGTGGCACCGTGGTATAGGCCCAGTCGAGTGGGGAATAATGAGCACCGAAACACGCAAGGGGGGCGCTGGTGAGGGGGTGGTCCACGGCGTTGGCTCCGGCCTCAATGATCAGGATATTCAGCGAATTGTTCTTTTCGTAAAGCCGACTGGCGAGTGCGCATCCGGCGAGCCCACCGCCGATTATAATGTAGTCTCTTGTTAAGCTTGACATTAGGGCTATGAAGAATGCGGGCTAGTCTGGTTTTCGAGTTTGTATTAGCCAAAGAGGGATTGGAATGGGTTACTTAGAGATGATATTAACAAGGGTGTAGCTGAATATGCACACATATTTATACTAAATGTACCAGCAATGCCCTTGTTACTCAAGCAATGTAGTTCGATCGACATAGCCGACAATTACAGGCCCCCACGCCGTCGTTTTGCCGAGACGGAGGATAGACGGTCTGGCCAATCATAATGCTATTTCGCTGTGGACACTTGAAGAAATGGGATTGAGGGATAGTAATGGACTACCTGGAAGGCCTAATTTGGTAACTGAATGGGGAGGTGGCTCTGTCGGGTTGGCTCTTCCCATCCACCGTGCTGTATATATCCTAGAGAATGTAACCTAGCCTATGCGTATGTACAATAGTAGCAATGACAAGGGGCTATGTTATAAACCATAATAGGGAAATAGTATCCAATAGGATATGAACGGCTCGATGGCTAGTGGGGACTTTAGTTGTCAATATGTCTGTGATCATATCAAATGTGATATTGACGAAATCTGGCCATCTACAGTCAGTAGAGGGTTACTTTATTGCGCAGATAGTGCATTTCCCAGCATAATTCCATTACTAAATATCTCAATTGAAACCCTTCTCGCCGTGTCGACACTCTGAGAGGCTGCCAATGTTGGCATTCGATCCTTCCTCGCTAGGCCAATGGAACTTGACTGAGCTAGGCCTTTGGAATTAGACAGTAGTGTTGACTAAGCTTGGGTTATTATCATAATTTCTTGCTTTATACTAAACCATCTCGTTTTTGCGTTAGAGCTGTACAAGCCTCCATAAGCGTACAAGGGAATTTAATCCCCGGGATGCAACGCATTGCTGAATATATTGATACTACGATGCAACCATATATCTTCATGACTACCTGAACAATCCCTTTATGAATTCATATAATTTAATTTGCTGCATTGCTTCCCCTGTTTCTACATTCTAGGCTGATTATCTATCAATATAACGATACCCATTTGAGGTCTACTGCCGGCCATTCCCGTAGATAAGATCTCGCATTCATCTTGCCAGTTATCGTCACTTGTAATCCATACCATGGACATTCAAAACTTCGGAACTGGGCGAGATTTAGCAATCTTTTCGTACGCTCCCATGAACCGCAATAGAGCTCCCTCTTCGTCCGCCCTGGCCACCAGACATAGACCGAACGGCCGGCTATTGTAGCGAAGTTGTCCTATCGGGACTGTGGCGACAGGATAACCTAATCCTATTAGCGATGACAAGTCAAACGTACGCGTGATGAGTTGTTACCTGCAGCAGAAGCATGAACACATAACGGGGAGTCTCCTGGGGCTGCCAAGATATTGATTTTTTCGTTGTCGAATAGGTCATCCAGAATATCTCTCGCGGCCTTGCGAAGGTCCTGTTTCATTTCATCTATACATCCTTTTTCTTCAACAGTGTTCATTGCCCCTTCCAGATCATTCTGCTCGACGAATGCTGTGTGGTGTTAAAGATTCTCCATTGTAGGGTCGTAGGACTGTGTCCTCTCTGTCAACTCACGAGCTGGAAGGGCCTTTTCGCTGTTTTATTGAACTTGACGATATCTGCAACGCTTTCTACAGAGCACTCGCCAAACGAGCGAATGAATCTAGGGATGCAGACATTTTTGAAGTCCCAGTCTAGAACTGGTTAGCCATCTTGACTTCATCTGGTACTGCAGCGACCTATATACGATTGGTAATATAGTATTTGGTAAAACTGAGGGATCCGTGTAATGGATTGGGTATCTAACAGGACAGCCTCCATCTCGTAGAGTGGAAACCGTCTCTTCGTACTCGTCTACCTATAATCAACTGTTAGGGATCTGAACGTTTGATGAATGACAGTAACGTACCATTTGCTCTGCGGTGCCCTCAAATTGCGTACAAAAGTCCGGTGACATGCTCCAATCTTTTGGGTCCAGGAAGCCCACCGAAAGACATTCCCAGGAACCTAACTGGTGGGAGCTAAACAGGCGGCCGAGTAGAATCTCAGAAAGAACGCGAACGTCAGCTGCTGACTTTGCCATAGGACCCGGACAGTCGAAAAACTCCGTCATGGTGTATAAGCCAGTAGTATCCTGGACCCGGTAGTAGGCTTGAGCGCATCTAAACCGGCGCGTGTTGACGGAGTCACAATGGAACCTATGGTCTCAGTGGCCATTGCAAGAGGGCTAAACCCAGCGGCTACAGCGACCGCAGAACCAGTGGATGAGCCACCAGGAGCCTGCTTAGATCAGTACAAATGAATAACATCTGCAACTTCATCTACTCACTGAGTGGCCAAGTATCTTCTCATTACCCTCTATCTTCCCAACATACGGCGACAGAGTCTGACCGCCGTGAGCAGACCAACCGGGCATCATCCTGGTCATTTTCATGCCAGCGAATTCCTAGAACAACGGTTAACTGAATACGTTCCCTAGGAAACCAAACGTATACTGACAGTTATGTTAGCCTTCCCCAAGATAATCAAGCCAGCGTCAATCAGCCGTTGAGTGATAGCTCCGTTCTTGGACGCCTTGGCTCCGATGAATGCATATGATCCAGCTGTGGTGCTTATGCCCAGCTCCGACGCTGTGACAAAGCTGTCTTTCAAAATGATAGGAATTCCATGAAATGGGCCCCAGATTTGCCCTTTCTGGCGCTCCTCATCCCGAGCCTGGGCGATTTCGAGGACCTTGTCCCGCGGGGCAGGCGAGATCAGCGCATTGGGTGCGGGCTCATGGCGATCGATTTATGCCAAGTACTCTTCCGCAATTTGAGTGCTTGTGGTCTTGTTCTCTTCGAGTAGCTGCTGCAGGTCGACCGCATTAGTCGTGAGGACGCTGAAGACCATTTCTGCGCTGAAGCTTTGAATTCGGGTGAGGAGCTACGAGGGATATCTGAAGTTAATGCGTCTGTTGGTGAAGTTCGTTTTAGCGTAGTTCGAGTACATGCTTGTCAAAATAATTAAACAATCAAAACCTGGCGCTTGCTCCCCGATCTCCCAGTATCTCGAGTAGTTAATAATAACCAATGACATCTCGAGATCCCCGCTTCGATGCTTATAAAAACTGATCGTTCATCCGTTGTGGTGCATGATATTTAACTCTCATTCGGCTCGACGTCCTTGTCCTAACTGAAACTTCTTTTCCACAGTATCGAATACAGAATGCAAATTCATCCAGTCAACTAGCTTCGGATACTTGGACATTTGTGCAGAAGTCCTCTGTTCTCCACCATCCCCACCTTGGCCTGCTACTAAGTAATATGGAGTCACATCACTCTGACACGCAAATATCATGCTCGGCATCTCACTACAATGGTCTACATGGTGCCTGTGCGTCTTCTCTCCACTGCTTAAGACACCCACGATGCTGTCTCGACAATGCGCTCTCTCCGACCTCTTGATCACATCGATTGTGCTATCTGTCATTACTCTCCTCGGTGAAAACCTGGGGCCGTCAGGGATTGGATGCGCGAAGAAGATATCCTCATGGTATCAGGTTATATGCAAGGACAGCAGATCTAGAATTGAGATAGCATACTGATCCACGAGTTCCTTAGCACCTGCTTTCAGTAAGGTGGACAGCTCTTGGCAAATGTTCCGAAATGGCTTCTCTGAAAAGTCCATCGAGGACATCAAACTTCAGTGATTGGAAACGTGGAGCGATAGTTTACAAAGTGCGTAGTAGCTTCTGTATATTCCACAATCAGCTTTGGCGTCTCTTATGGGTAATCTGGAAGTAAGAAAAACGAGACATATTGGGATGTATAGAACGAGAATCAGTGTTAGCGAGAAGGGCAAAGAGAAACTCGCATTGTAGCCGTGATATGTCTTTTCTTTTGTTGTCATCTGCCGAACTTCAGAACATACACGCATGTCAGTTGTTATAATACACAGCCTCAGGTAGATGAAAGGGGCTTGATAGCCTTGCATTCTGATTTTACACCTTGGGTATAGTTACAGAAGAGAGTCTGTGGTCTCTTAATCTGTTATCTTCCAATAGCCTTTGATATTGCTCGTATGACCACTTTGACTGAAAATGAACTCGTAAAACTAGCTTAGAATAGATAACTTAGTAGCTTCGTTTATCGTGAGTTGACCACCTGAGCTTGATGCGATGTCTTCAAGGATTCTTGAAAAGCGAGAGACCTAGTGGAAAATTGTACTGCCCGAATCTTGATTGTGGAGCATCTAATCTTCCCAGACTGCTAAATAGGGCAATCGATGAACGGAGAACGGGATTACCCACAGCTTAGCTTTGTATATCTAATCCGGATGGCCAATCGCTGATTATCATACCTTGAGTTACTGTTGGGGAGGCAAACAACTAGTTCAATTGCTACGAAAGAATCTTGACGGTATGAATACCCATACACGTTGAGTGTCAGGGAGTATTCTACAACCTTTTTAATGATAGTCTGCAGTGTCTCGTCCTGAATATCCAGATTGATAGATTGCAACACAGAGCGAAAGAATGATTCTTTCTCACAATCAGAGCCAACAAGATAGTCGAGAGTTTTTCTGATGCGTGGGCTCCTAGGAAGAGTGACCCTTGCGGTGGCCAATATCAAGGTATGTACCAATGAGAGTTACGGGATGAAGAACGAGCCATGCACGTTCGCTTTCACGGCATGGCTTTAAGTACCGGTCTTCGATGGGAACTGGGCCGGAAGGGCCTTTCCGTCATTTCCATCCTCATAATCGGCACTTTCCCCGAACTATGAAAAATCTTCTGCCCTGATACCGAGTGTCGTGATGGCGGCTACCCTCGGTTGTTCTCGGTCCAGGGCCAGGGTCCACTAACCTGTTCCTGACACTCGCCACAGCGCCGTCAATAACCGAAGCCGTTGCAGAGCTGCCGAGGACTTGATTGGCCACGTTTCCGACAGGCACATGCTGCTATGGCTCGTGCGCGTTTCTATAACATCATTTTTATATCGAAAATCTTTATCGCGGAAAAGAATGGGTCTATCCGATACTGAAATCAGGCTCTGTTTGGCAGCAAAACGTCAGTGGGCTCTTTTCATTTTGATGGAGCACACGAGACCAGAAGAAAATGATGTGGAAAAAAGAGGGCTAGTTGGGTCGGTGGCCCATCTCGGTGTATATTAGTAGCAGTTGGGAACCTTTCCTTGAGAATTCTGTTGAATTCTCACACACAGCGACTTCTCTGTACATATCCATAAATTCTATAGACTCGCTTTACAATGGATCATACCCGGGGTGACATCCCGACTTACGCAGAAGAGCACCGCAAATGCCCATCTCTCGATGAGACCGACACCGATAGCGAGGACTTATCCGATGAGACGGCAAACCACGTTAACTCATTAGAGCTCGAGCGCATTAATACCTATCGCCTTCAGCAAAAGACAACCGTTGGCTCAACTAGAGGCCCTCTGCCGCGGGAGCAATGGCTGCCCATGGGTGCCGGGAAAGAGTATCCTCCATTACTCCCTGATCCTGAGCAATATGTGGTGGAGTTTGATGGACCAGACGATCCATTACATCCCTACAACTGGTCCATGCTGAGAAGGTTCGCCTGGCCCACAATGGATTGCCATAAATGGATTTAGTTACTAACACGGCATCTATTTAGAGCTTTTCTCGTATGCATCCTCTGCTATTCAACCTTTGCCGGCTCCTTCGCTAGTGCCGTCTTCTCCGCTGCCATTGGGTCTGTGAGCCAGCAATTTAATATCGGCACCGAGGCTGCATCGCTAGGCGTTACATTATACGTTTTAGGTTTCGCTGCCGGCCCGACGATCTGGGCGCCGGCCTCTGAGCTTATCGGACGACGCTGGCCGTTGTCCGTCGGCCTCTTCGGATGTGGTGTCTTTAGCATTGCCTGTGCCACTGCAAAGGATGTGCAGACTATTATGCTAAGCCGTTTCTTTGCTGGACTGTTCGCCGCCAGCCCCATCTCGATCGTCCCTGCTGTCTTTGCCGATCTATTTAACAATGCCCAGCGGGGTATCATCATGTCGATCTTCTGCATGGCCGTCTTTATTGGACCCTTTGCCGCCCCTTTTGTGGGTGGATTTATTGCCATGAGCTCCCTCGGATGGCGCTGGACCATGTACATATCCGCCATCATGGTATTCCTGGGCTTCATTCTCGTCCTTCTCTTTTTGGATGAGTCTTACCCTCCCGTGATTCTGGTCCGCAAAGCCTCGGAGCTTCGTCGGCAAACGCATAACTGGGGAATTCACGCCAAACAAGACGAGGTGGAGGTTGACTTCATGGAACTCGTCCGGAACAACTTCACACGTCCGATAACCATGCTCTTCACGGAGCCCATTCTCCTCCTCATCTCGCTCTACATCTCATTTATCTACGGCCTCATGTATGCTTTACTCGGTGCATATCCCGTCGTCTTCCAGGGTGTTTACGGTATGAACATGGGAGTGGGTGGCCTTGCCTTTGTCGGTCTCATTCTGGGTGAACTGCTCGGCGGCTGCTTTGTGCTCTTCCTACAGGGTGGCTATAAACGCAAACTCGCAGCAAATGGAGACAAGCCTATCCCTGAATGGCGCCTCTCGCCTGCCATTATCGGTGCTGTACTTTTTGCAGGAGGGATGTTCTGGTAAGCTGCTGCCCTTCTTCTTTCTATATACTTGAGTAGTATCATCTCTGACAATCTCAATAGGTTCGGCTGGACCGGCTACACATCCTCCATCCACTGGATGGCTCCCATGGCCTCAGGAGTCCTCACCGGCGCCGGAATCTTCCTGATATTCCTACAATGTTTCAACTACATCGTCGACTGCTATCCCACACTGTAAGCCCGCTACCACTAGCCCGATACCCACAGAACCAGCAGCTAACAGATAATACCCCAGTGCGGCCTCCACAATAGCAGCAAACACGATCCTCCGCTCCGCAGTCGGCTGTGCATTCCCCCTCTTTTCGAGACAGATGATGGAGAACCTCGGTGTCCAATGGGCCGGAACCATGCTGGGCTGTATTGCAGCTGTGATGATTCCCATCCCTGTGGTGTTCAAGTTATATGGTCCTTGGCTGAGGTCCAGGAGCAAACTGGCTTGCTCGCCTGTTTACGATGTCGAGAAGAAACCTTATGATGTATGATTCTGGATGTTTGTTTAAAAGTCGTTTTGCTGGTTTTGCCCTGTTTATTCTTGTTTTTCTTTTTTCAGCGAAGATACCATTTGCATAGCGTGTCATATGGTGTTGTGAATTGAATTCAGTTTCTTGATACTATTAGAGGACTCAGTGGTGATGGGCTAGTAGATTGTAAATAAATATATTATGTTTATTGGTAGCTAATGCTAGGTGGTTGGGTTTACTACGAGACATTGTGAATAAAACTATGCTTAGCGCGGATAAGGGCTGTTGTATTACACTGCGACTGAAGTATTACAAAATACATGATGTGGACTATGTTTATTGAAGCGATGCTATCAAAACTGTCACGCGTTCCGCTTAACCACCACAAAGGATGTCAATGGAGGGACTCGGTTTCTGTACCACCCAGGATGAAAGAGCCACAGTCAAAGAAATACACAAGACTCAACAATAAGAGGTCAGAGTAAGGAAAGCAACGAAACTGGTCCGCGTTCCACCCACACATGAAGACATGTCGAATGGAGGGACCTGGATTCAGCATGACCCCAACTCATTGACCCCCAAAAGAACAGACATTAACCAACTGAAAGGAAAAGAAATTGAAACCCAACAAAAGAAAAAAACAAAAACGAAGGGAGCGTGCTAAACCGTCCGAGCAGCCTGATGTGCCATACCATTTTCACCCTTCTCCGACGCTTCAATCATGAGCCAGCTTGCGTACATCCATCTCAATAGCCGATCCAGCCATAGAGCACTTTAAGCACCTTGCACAAGAGAAAGAGAGCTGTCATAGGCCGTCTCTTTGAGAACACGTAGTTGTGTGGTGCTCTGGTGCCTCCAATTGTCCGGAAGTTCCGTAGTTTCCCAGGCTGTGAGTCCTGCTTTCGGAGCTAGATCGCCGAATCTGTACAGGGATAACACTAATGTGTCGAGAGAGCCCTGCAGAAAATATGCTTGGAGATCTGTATGCTCTTCCAGTCAGCACTGTGCACAGTTGTCGTACACTTCACATAGTCGGTCGAGGCCAACAGTGCCTTCGTGATTGTCATGGGTGATAAGGCACTCCTCGTTCGGTGCGAAAGTGACGACAAGGCCGGGAATGAGGTCGGAGATGGCTTCTATGGTCTCATCGAGGTTAAGGATGACATTTCCTCGATGTGGTCCTTGAGAGAGGGAGGAGTATCGGCGTAGAGATTGGAGACGGCATTTTGATTCTTTTTCGCAGCTAGAGCAATGGGGAGGGTCGTTGGGCGGGATAGATTCGCATCATCTTCGGCGTTGCTGTCTGTGTTATCGTCGTCGTCATCGTCGCCCTCCTCGTCCTCCATGTCGTCGTTCATGTTAGGGTTGCGAAATTACAAGCTAGTATCCATGATTTGGTCATGAGTGGGGGTTGAGGACTCTTTTATAATGCATCCAGAGACAATTATTAGTCATGGTGACATTCACTGCAGATATGAAAGCACAATCTTTCTCTGATGAAGGCGCGGGGGTTGCCTTGGTGGTGGTGGTGAAATATTGAGTAACTTGGTATGATCATTCGCTGGCTTGATACTTGCTCATCATGTTTTGGTAATTCTATGTAGATCAATGAAATTCTAATGGATGTACACGGGAAATGTTGGAATCCTTCTGCAATGCACTTGGCTGAAGCCTGTATCCCAATGTGAAGACACAAAGACATGAAAGTGGTAGAATGTCGCACAAACAAGTCAGACAGGGAATCTGTACAATGATTTAGAACGAACTACAAAGATGAGTAGGTTTGTCGATAATAAACATGCTTAAATACAAAGACTCTCTACATGTCTCTTTTGCAAGACCGGAATATACCAATGTTTATACTTCATCGCACCGCTGCATTGCCAATACTTTTACAACAATGCAAAGTCTTCCACTAGCACTCGACTTTGCAGAAAGAGTCAGGCCTTGTCGGACGATTCATCACTGCCTCTTTCATCCAGCCTAAACTTAGTGTTAGGCTTATCTCAGAGCTTGACTTCCTTTTTCAACAAGCGTTACAAACAACCCTAAGCTGGCGAAGGCAATCGCCACGAGGTACACTGTACGAAGGGACTGTGTACAGTGGTAGTTAGTGTACTACCGTAAACTTACAAGGTCCAGCTAATATACCTTCAGAAAGACCTAACCAACCTGTTCTAGAGAAACAGGGTCCTGAATGCTGTCTAAGAAGGTCAGCCAAATTATTATCAATTTTCTACCAACACCATCCCCTCAGGCTCCCCCAACCACCCGCCATGGGTTCTCCGGATGGTTGGTTCTTCACTCTTGTTACCATATTCCGGTCCGAACCTGGTCGATACCATTATAATTCCCGATATTCCCGTAAATCGGGCCCTAACAAGGTATACAGAATAGCAGCTATCACGAGCGGATACCCAGCTATACAAGGACCTCATTAACAAAGCAGATATTAGGTAGATCGCGTATGATCAAAATTTCGAGTTCTTCGCGAAGAAAAGGTGTTATGATTGGTGTGGTCCGTCGCTGCATTGCTCCAATTAGAGAGTAGTCTGGAAATTATATCTCCTTACTGAGTTGGGATTGTATTAGTTTGAACCCACCTTCTTGAAGGTTGGTACAAATAGTTCATCATTCATTCCTAGAATACGGCGGGGATGTGCAGATCCGCGGAGATTGGAGAGCAACTCCACTTCAGTATATGTATTTCCTCTGTATTCTCGGCAGCCTTGGGATCCATAGAGGGGTTGCCGTACATATGGCGGAGTCCGTGCGCCTAGTAGTGCGTCGAGAGGCTGCAATGGGGGCATTCATCTCCGTCTGCATGCTTCAGCTCGAGGTGACGTGCGCCACCACGATCTGCTGCCACCCCGCTGTTGCAGGTTCAATACTAGTAGTTGTCAACCATTGGGAGCACACCGCTAGTTCCTCAAATGGCCTGGATCGGTGATGTGATCCAAGACAACCAGATCCCAGTGATACTACTAGTAGTTCCCTGTCTACCCGCTATTCTCTGATCTATACGCAGTATTTCTGCTATAGAAATCACGACATGAAAAGGATTCAGTCGTGATGAACTATCAGTTATAGATCTTTGCTTGTAGGTCTACATTACTACTGGTACTAGTCAATGCCGAAGAGCGCGCCGCGATCGGAGCGGTGTAGGAAGGTTTGGTTTGAGTTATGGGCCCTGGACTAGTGCGCCTATCACAGATATCCCTTGGTATAAAGCTGTATGCAATACCCAGATATACAGCCGAGCATACGCAAATTAATATGGGCTACGGATACAGAGAACCTAAAATATAAAGACATGACTGTGGCTAGCAGTGATTCGGTGATAGCTGAGCTTTATTTCGAAATGGCCGTGCCAATCACACGAGGCGAACGCACTCCAAGTTGTGCGCGGTTCTTTGCAAGGGTGATGCCTTCTTTCCACCCTCTGAACTGTCATTTTCTCCACTCTTTTCAGACGTGATCCACCCATTTCTCCCACAGAGGACGATCTATCCCCGGTCCAGATCTCTTTCCGGCCATCATGCAGACCGGCAAGCAAACAGTTGCGCCTACAGACAGAACTAAACCAGATATGATGAAGAAGTTGACAGCTCAAACAAGCTGACGTGGGCTTCCTAACAGCGGGGTGGTATCCTTCTAGTGGTTCTCGGTGTGGCCTCGTAGCGCGCTTCTATCGTCGAAATTGATCCTTACGAGGCCGAATATCCTACTTCTCGGCCAACCAATGTACCAGCAGCGGCATGCACATCCTCCTATCATGTAAGCGGTCATAGTTGGATATTGAACTTCTTCAAAATACCTGATGACGGGGAACATTGTGGCTCAGACCTGCGGGTACCGGTGCCAGACGGAAGGAACAGAATTCTATTATTTTATAATGAACGCTGGCGACGAGCGATGCCAGATGTGATCATGCAATGAGGTGTGGTAATACTATATAGCATGGTACCGTAAATATCGCTTGATGCGACAATATCAATATTCCTGCGTGATGCGGAAACTTGATGTGTTAGCAGGGTCATTGCTGAGAACCTAATTGCGGTACCCCGCCCATAGGTGCTTAGCGGAGGCCTATCAGTGTGAGCCACGCTCTAGGTCATTCAGCTAAGATGAAATTGCGCTGGAGACATACTCAGCTGAGCTGCTACCTGCCAGCTGAGTTTGACCACACTGAGTAGAGGAGGGCAACTCATCACCAATTTCTAGCCTACCTATAAAGACGGTGTGTCTCCTGTCTAGATTACACATTCGTCAAGGACCTACCTCTTCCACCATTCGCTCCCACAGCCACTTCGTACATCTCCCAACCCTGCCTGCATAATGACTGCTTCTCACCTATTCAATATCAAAACTGTCGACAAGGCTGGGGAAGCCAAGCTGACGAATGTCATCAACATCGAGAAGGACATTGACGAAATTACCACTCTACAAGGTATTCGACAGCTTTTGGTATCTGCTAAGAAGCTGGATTCGGCAAAGTAAGCTACGTGTATCTACCCCAGTACATGATGGCGAATCGATAATTAACCCATGCGTAGGGCACGCTTTGCATTCTGTGGCAAAGATGGCGCTCGTGTGGGTGATGATTTCAATTGGAAGCTCTACGAAGCCCTTGTCGCCGAAGGTTCAGATCAGGTATGGTATTCCTTAAGGGAGGTTTGAAGCCGACAAGCTCAAAATCTATCCAGGACTCCAAGACTCAGCTGCCAGGAGACACGAAAGTCCATAATCTATGTTTTGAGTCCCCAGAAGAGACCAGCAAAGAAAAGTCATTGAGCAAGCAGGCGCAGGACCTTCTTGATAGCAAATTGGACATGGATCTTGTGGTATGTGGCTTTCTTAAAGCTAATGCGTCTGGCATTCACATTGAATAGAAAAACAAACCCGAGCTGGTTACAGCTACTCTGAAAGAGCTGGCTAGCACCTACAACCATGCCAATTTCAAAGCTGCCGCTGGGGGCAATGTTGTGTATATTGAGATTTTAGACCCCACCATTTTGCACGGGTCGACTGATAATACTGCAGGACAGCAAGCTCTCTGTCCCAGGAAGACTGGGAGACGGTTTTGCGCAATACGCATTATCTAAACGCGCATCGGGTGGTCTTTTCAAATCTGGAGAATGGAACAAGGGCGTTTAAAAGGCTTGACAAAGCTCCATTTGCTGGTATGCGCTAGCGGAGAACAGGGCCATTTTGGATAACAATTAACCTTTGTTATTTATAGCATTTTGTACTGCGCCGAGAAAGATATTCTCTCTAGAAAAGGCTGACAAATCTATCCAAGTCGAGGTGAGCCTGAGGCCCCATACGTTATTTATTTTCCTTGTTCTTAACGCTAACAACCAATAGGGAGAGTATCGAATTCCTCGATATGTAGTCACCGACGACTCCTATGTTAACGTCTTTGAAACAGCGAGTTCATTGTCCGAGAGTGTTGCCTCCAGCAGCTTCTCCCAGATGGATATCGAAGCCTCAGCGTAAGCCACATCCACGATCCGTGCAACCGAGTGCGCTGACATGATTTCTAGTGGTGGAAGTCTTTTTGGAGCGAGTCTATCTGTCAAGGCAGGTTTTAGTCAAAACGAGAGTCAGGCCGTCGCTACATCGACCTCCAAATCGGCGAGGTCCATGAACATCACATATAATGTTAGCGGCATTTCTCGGCCAGCGTAGACACTATCGGAAGCTAACAAAAATTCATAGTTCCCAAGGGCTATTCTGCACCTCGACGCAAGAAGCTTAGAGCTGACAGAGGAATGCAAAATAGCACTACAGGGGGTCAAGGATGCCGATAGCCTAATCCAGTTTCACCAAGACTTTGGTAGGCAACATGATGTGCCAGCTCAGAAATCTTTTATGGCGCTGACTCATGACAGGGCATTTCTTTGCGACCAATGTTGAGCTTGGTGGAAAGCTCTTTGCTTCAGAGCAGTTTACCTCCGAGGAGTCGGCCAAGGCGGAAGAGAAGGCAAATGCTATGAAGGCCAGTGCCAGTGCCTCGTTTTCGTACGGCGCATTCTCGGCCTCTGCCAGCTACTCACAGGAGAACCAGCAAAGCGAATCCCGAAATGCCTCTAGCAGTCAAATGACCAACAATCTCACCTGGGAGGCCCGGGGTGGCGACACAATTCTTTGTAATGAGTAAGTAGGCACTAATAATGATATGTGCACAGAGCTAATGTTAGTTTAGTCCTCCAAACTGGTGTGCTACGGTTAAACCGTTTACGAACTGGAGAATCATTAATGTGAGACCCATATGATATAGTCGTATGGCAGATATTATACTGACATTCGCCGTAGCAAAGGGATGTGATGCCTTTGGGCGATCTTATTGGAACTTTCCAGAACTATAAGCATATTCCTAGTGATTTTGACCAAATCCGAAAGGGATCGAGACAGTCCGTTCCTTGCCGGTTCCGACTCCGGGCTAATAAAAAGGATGACGTTGGGGATAACGAATTCTACGGAGTGCGTAGAAGGGAGGATGGGAAAAAGAAACTGGGTAAGTGAATCGATTTAAGGACAACATATGCACCTCTAATGTGATACTAGAGCCCTACCTGCGGAGGCATAAGGGTCAACTACTCAAGGACGATGGCCTCACGGACGATACCCAAATATTCCCCGGGTTGGGTTTCACGGCCTATTGGCAAGTTAGCACCCCTTCGGGCAAGTTTTACTCTGCTTTCGAAGAGCGCGTCAAAAAAGACTACTTTACAGACAACTTCAAGGAGTATGTCGGGATTGATAAATTAGATCATCACAATGGAGGCTGCGACTTCGAGGTTGAAGTTGTGACGGAGCTGAAAGCAAAGCCGAAGGTATGACCCCAGAGTATCCCATCGTCATTTTGCTATTAACGCTGGGCGGAACAAAGTTACAATTGAACGTTCCGTACCTTATCCACGTCCCTAAGCGCAGCACCTATCTTGCCGCAGACACATCCGGCACTTATAAGGACAGATTCTTCGGTTACATGTTTTATGCACGTCAGGACCGTGCCAGCAAATTCATGTTCCGAAAGGTCGGGGACAGAGACAGAACAGGCGCCGTTGAGGACAAGATGGAGGTCGAACTGGCCTGGTGTAATGATGATGGAGAGCCTGTGGCTGTTGTTCAACGCTTTGAAGCCGATCAGTCGACTCTGGTGCTGAGTAAATATGGAGCATCGAATGCATCGAGCTATAGTGTTGAGCACAATGCGACAGTGGAATATAGCTAGGGCTAAATCCGCACCGCAACCTTAGGGGCTATCCTTTTGAACTTTGGTTGGGATAAGTATCCATGGAAGCAGTTGTCGCATTGGGGAAATTAGGTGGGGATATTTGCCGCCATTATAGTTTGATCCTGAGACAGATCGAGAAAAGATTTGGTACGCAACGCCTGACAGTCGATGGCAATGTATTTTCGGTCGATTCAGTCCTAAGTGAACCCAATTCTGACATTCTTATATCCGTAATAAGTCCTTGTAATGATCAGGCTGAACATTGATTTGATTTGGTTTGATTTATTCCTCCGCGGGGCGTACTCCAGGACGGTATAGTTATACCTTAGCGTTCTGGCTCAGTCCTACATCTTTCGAACCCTAATCCCCTCCGCATTTGGCTGGCTTTGAATCTTAGTATACTCTATAGTAGTATCCAATGATGAACTACCTACACGGATCTGAATATAGTTAAGCTTTCGAAATAGGGTTTAAAACTGACCCGAACGTACAGTTGATGGAGCGATATTTTGCGTGGGTCTGTACCATTCCTTGAAGCCCATCTCATTCCAAAAGTACCATCTCATTAAGGTGCAAATATGGCTTTTATAGTAGACAATCAGAAAGAGCGTGAATGAGAACAGATCGAAGTCCTCATGGCCTCCCTTTTTTATTGGAGGTGTCTTCATAGTAGCAAATGGGCGTATATTCGGGTGAAGTTGTCTAATCGTTGTCAGGGCCTTACTGGAAGTCTGCCCGAGGCATCAAACTACCTGATTCACTGTTGATTAGATGCTAGTGTAGTCAGACTTTTTGGACCCCTAAGGTAGATGAGACGAGTCCAGCTCGCCTATCACTAGTTTTCCAAACGTTTTGAAGACTATTTCTGCTGTAAATCCAGGCCAAGGAGCTTCACCAAAGATCGAGGTCCGGTCTCTCTAATAGTTCCATTAACTATTTGGGGCGTAGTGATAGCTATCAACAACATCTAGGTGATCTGCACAAAACCAATATTCAAGGCAAAATAAGACCAGGAACGATAGCGCAGGCAGGTATATCCTAGCCCACAAAAGAAGGTGTTGACATTAGAGACATAAGGTGGATGATGGATGCGGACAGGTTGTATCCTCGCAGTTATTGTACAATATCAACTATAGATCATCGCTCACTCTCTATTCTTATCTATTGTTGTCAGTGCTACGTCCTCGTAGTCAACGCACAATATTAGACTAGAAATCATCACTTACAGGCTACACACGTGCATCGTTTTCCGTGCTATATCCTCGCAGTCATTGTGCTGCATCAGACCAGGGATCACCACTTACAATACTGATAAATAATTGATATGCACAGTGTGTAAGCGATGGGCCCAGGCCTAATATTGCACGATGACTACAAGGATATGGCACTGACAACAATGTATGTGGATAGGAAGCAAGCCATAACCTTCTCCTATTATTTTTTATTTTCTCTTAGAACTGACACTATTTTCAGTAAGTATTGCTAGAGAAGATTTTTGATAACCTCACGATACAGTATTACTTATTTCTTAGAGGACGCAATGCTCATCGGTTATATACCAGAAGGTGGTTGTATCTATTACCTTGATATAGATTTTCCCCTGCCAGGAGCAGGTTTCCCTATATCATATTACAGATATAGAGGTGTTTGCTATTGTTCCTTTTATGTATAGTTGTAGAAGCGGAAATCACGGTGGTCCCTAAATATTATCCTGAAGTCCTGGAAACCCCTTCCTATTTCTCTTTATTACAGCTCTGATGTCTATAAGTAGACAAGGACAATGGACAATACAGCCCCTTCTAAATATCCACAAACTTGCAATACCATGTTATTAAACCTATGTCGTAACTTACATCACTTTGATTGTCAAGCTCGCATGCCGGAAATGACCTTGGGCGCTTGTCTTTCTGTCACTAACAGAAGTAACGTATTATTATAAGAAGTTATCGAAGCCTTGGCCAGAATTCTCTTCGACGAATTCCCAGTTTCGCTTGAAAATTATCTTCAGCTCTACGAACTCTTGAATCGGATAAAGAGTAGAAAATATAGAGATAAATATACAAGTTTAATACCTGCGCTCAAGTATAGATCTGAATTCTCCGAAATAAGGAGACAATACTATCTTGAGTATATGCAGGTATGATCTGATAATATTTATCCCGGTAAAATTTGGTTACCTGGACTGGGACTATTCCAAATAGTAGCCAGCCGGTCAGTCTAATTCCTGCCCTTTGTTATATTCTGATGTGTCTATAAAGACCAGCTGGTAGGAGTAGAAATCGAAAATTATATATATGCTGTGGGTCCTAATATCCCGGACAAAACAAGCCAGCGGCCGGAAAGCTTAGACAATTTACAGAGTAGAGGGCCTTAAGGATGAAACTTAGTTGACTATTCGACCACAATGGCATTGTACTTATTTTTCGGCGAACCTCGTTGTGTACTGTATCTACACTTCAGGGAGACAAGCCGAGTATTTACCTTGTCGGGGATTGGCTTCGAACTGCTCAAACGGACGAGCACTAACTGAAGTCCGGTTGGACGTTACAGGAAGGCATCCGTCTAGAGAGCACTTGTCTGGTCGATGGACATGGGAATACCTTCTCCGATAGTAGGTTCTACAACGGCAGACAGGTCACCGTTCGCGATATGTCAATCCCGGTGTCCGTCCTGGCTTATAATCCAGCATCGGCCTATTTTATACAAAGTAGAGGTCGCGCTCCGGACACTACAAGACCTGAGGCCGGTCAGTTCGGGCATCTGCTGCCGAAATCCCCGGAGTCGGTCATTTGGTTGCGTTGATCAATCTAGACTCAAGCTCAGTCTGGGCTGGTCGGATTCTTCACGTTTAGTCCTCTTTCTATTCTGTCTGGGAAGAACAGCCGAAAGTATGGTATGTTACAGGACCCCTGCTGGGCGCTGATTGGCGCAATGGAACTGGAGAATATCCAAGTGAGCTGACTTCCCTATGCAAAAAATCAAGAGAAGGTTTCTCTCCCCCCTCATGGATGAGTATCAATGGATGATGCTTTTTCTGCCATTTTCGGAGTGTCAAGTCGAAGAGGGAACGACGGGGACCGTCAAACGGCTCTTCCGGTGGACGGATGTTTGGATGGAGCCTTTCTATCTGCCGGTCTCTTCATAGTCGAATCACATACCGGCCCGGAATTGCCTGCTGAGAAGCAGCCAAAACTCCACTTCTCCGACGAGAATTTCATCTCTGAAGACCTCCGTGTGAAAGCACCCGATAGTCAGAGAATGAGCCTCTTCCGTGTCTCAAAAGATCATATCACCTATTTCCGTCACTATCGCCAGGATTCGAATGGGTTGCGGATCGTGTCTTCCCAGACGGTCACTATGGCGGATGATCCTCTTCTGGCGAATGCCTGGCTTCTGCCTTTGTGGGATGTCGACATGAAGGGAGATATGCGGGGGAAACGGTGTTTGCTTGTGCTGCAATTAGAGGGTCCGACTGCGACGGATCAGCCGGTCCATGCGGTGTTCGGTGGGATGGTTGATGTGTGGGTGATGGGATCCGATATCAGGGAGATGAGCTTGGGCTCTCCCTGAAAACATAGTTAGACAGGATCATGGCTCGCAAAGTATCAGTTAGAAGTACTCTTGTGGGTCAGTCGGATATTATATTCCCAAAGGGGCATAGGTCCGTCCACAAGTGGTGGGACTCGAAATGCAGGCTTTGTATTGTTTTGAATGGCCTCGATTTTGGGAAGTGCGCCGACTTTGGCGGTAACGAAGAAGCAGCAACTGAGTCATGTGACCCGGTGGGGTACTCTCGTTGCCCGGTGCCTGAGGCAGAGATATGGATGTCAGGGCTCAGGATCCGATTCGTGACGAGGCCCCAATACTAGTACTCCGTATGATTTCAACCGTGAAAAAAGTCAACTCCCAAAGACTATTCGAATAAATCATAGAATTTGATAGCATGCAGCGGTGTCATTCGCCCTGCCCCTCGCGGTTTAATAGCCCGCCCACAGCGGGGGCAAGATAGCCAATGGTCTTAGTTGTTTCCCATTCAGCTGCGCCGATATTCACGGTGGATCAGAATTGATCTACACCGCTGACGATGCCGATTGTTTCGGTAGACACGGCACGAATATTGAGAGAGCGAAGCGGATAAATATGGCCAATGGTCCTGTACGTTTTGGACTGACCATCTCTCTCTCGCTTTCTGGGCAAGTCTATTCCTTTGTCGTCTAGCTTCAAACCAGTCACCATGACAATTCCCCATTACGGCGTCTGGGTTGGCAAGCCCACCAGATACAGAGCTGAGACCGCCCGTCAGGACTCCAGATCCCCCCATATTTACCTCCATTTCACCGACGGCTCGCACTTGCACAAAGAATACGAAGCAGCTATCAATGTCAAATCGACAGATAGAGATACTCGACTAGTCTTTTGGCTGGACCGAAATTTCCAAAACCCGGTAGCTCATCATCTTGAGCAGCTCGATCTAGGCCTCCACCCCATCGGATCTCACAATCACAACCACCACACTGGCTCCGTGCCAGGAATCGACTATCTCCGCACCCCGGGTCTCGTCGACGTCGAGGCAGGTCGACTGCTTCCTCATGACATCCCCGGTCCAATGAATGATGTCCTAGACCTGATGGAGCCCATTCTAAACGATGCAATTCGTCATGGAGCGACCATGTATATATTTGGTCAGCCCTACGATGACGGTATCCATGACATCCACCTGAACCAGGGAAACCTACCGCATTTTGAAAACGGTGTCTTTGAAGATGGTGGGCTCTTTTTCCGTTTCCCTGATGGACATTGGGAGGGTGTTTTCCTTGCGTTTGCGTCGCAGAGAGTTCCTACCGATGACAGTGGGAAGCCTGCTCATTATAGCAGGACGTTGGCACAGATGGTGGGATATGATCAATAAATCCTGTCATCTTATGTGGTATGATCTGTTGTTTTGGATATTTTGCTTGCATAGGAAGCAGGTATTTGGGGGATTATAGACGGTTTAGACTATAAATATTGTATCTGTTGGAAAACGTTGATTATCCATTGACGTGCAGAGTAACTAGCATCATATATGCTCAGCATCAAATAGTGACTGCGGAAGAAGCGCTAACTAAGGCTATTCAGCTCTAGATTGCCATCACAATCGCCATTCCTACGTCTTCGTACCCCAGCACATCAATTAGTAGAGAAAATCAACGACGCGGGGTAATTCATGTATCCGCAATAACTACCTATATGGGAAAGAAACTGCATAAATGACCCTCTTTGACAGCCATTGAAGCGTAGCGCCAGTGATGTAGTAGATACAAAATGTTTATGTCCCTTGACTTGTCACCAAAAGATACCAAGAGGACCAAGAGAAAGGCTCAACATATCCCCATTATGACAGAATGCCTACTTTAACAATGAGCATGTTGAAAAAGGTTTAGACCTTCTTCCATAAACTCCCATGTTCGGTGGAATGAATCTATGTGAGGTACTTGCTAGTAGTGAACAGTTCCTGCCAGTAAGCAATGCCATCATTGCGGAAATTATTTTTCTGAGTGCAGCACAGCCCAGTAGCATTGGCACCGAACCCGAGAACTACGGGGTTTTGCGAGCATTCTTAGGCCACACCTTGGTCCCATGAACTACAGATAACCTCATCAATGCTGCAAAAGGAAACATGCCCGAAGCATCAGCGTACTGAGAATGTTAGTAAGGTCTACATTGCTGAATAAACTACTATTCATGGTAGAGATTAGATAGCTCAAAAGCTCGATAGCCCACTTCTGATCACTTTGATCTTCCAGTCACTCAGACAAAGTGGAAATGTGGGAAAATAAAGCAACGTCGTCTTGCTCTTAAGCGCCATATTGCCACCACTTGGTATAGAATAGAACGTCGTAAGCATACGCATATACCGCAACGCCATGCGTGTCCTACTAAAGGACCAGCCAGTTAGATGTGACAATCTCTATGTATATGACGGGGTGCAAAAACAACTTTATTTAAGCAGTTTGATTTGATTACTCATTGCTTCAGTTAGTCGTTAAGGCATGCCAAGGCTAAGAAGGCGAGGTATGCTCCGGTCCAAACTGATCATGCGACTCGGAGGACCGCATGAAGGTAAATGCTATCGCGAGGCCCATAGAAATACTTGTAGCAGTTATCATGATATGAGAGATATCGTGAGGTTCAATCCCGCACACTGTGCACAACGCATTCGGTGAGGCTATGCAAGTCAGCGAAGAAAGTGAGCTCTACAAGAGGCACATACTACATACTTCTTTAACCGTACACGTCGACAGTAGATATTCCGCTGCAGCGCTATACCTACGCAAATACACTATCACCCGGGGAGCAAAGTGGGCCCCCGAGCCCTGTCTGCATTCATGTAGCCTGAATAATATTAGCGCATACCACCGGGTTCGTGAATTCCGCCTACAGCACATGGAGGCATTTGCTGATAAGCGACGCCGATTGCGAGCAGAACGACAACCTAGAGATTCGCAAAGCTAGTACACCCCATGTTGAATAAAGCGTGGCCCAGCCCCGGTTTGGGAAGACTTGATGAACATCAGCTTTTATAACATTTCAGCCATATTCTTGTCCAGATATCGCCTCTAGACCATCTCTTTGGCACAATCTCTAACGCTCTGGGTAGTTCATGCCACTGCGGAGCGATCTCAAGCCTTGAATCAAATATCACGAACCGGCCAAGACTACTATTTAGTGTGGCACTAACCCAGTCCATGCCGGGCCGTTGCAAGACCGTGGCTTATGATTGATTTTAATCACACTAAGATACGTAGCAATCAAAAGATAACTGATTCGTCCTCCCCCAATTCTGGACCTGGACTGTGGGGCTGGAGCGCCGACCATGACTAGCGCTACATACGCATCGAAGCCTGCCGCGCTAGTCAGTCATTATATTAAGAGGGCTGTGCGCCCGTAGGGGTCTTTCTCTAGCCACTACACGTCAGTGCAATTATAATCGGTCAAATAATGGACTTGCTTAGACTTCCAGATAGATCCCTCTTGGCTCAGGGCGCCCTCGTCGGAATAGTTACGTACTGGGCCGTCTGGATCATCTACACACGATGGTTTCACCCTCTCGCCAAGTTCCCTGGACCGTTCTGGGCGTCTATCACTAGGATCTGGACGCTTCTTCATGTGCTTCCTGGAAATGCCGAGAAGAGGCAGATGAAGTTACATGCAAGATATGGTTTTGTTCTCCCCTCGGATATACTTGACCAACGCTGATGAAGTATAGGACCTGTGGTTCGTATTGCCCCCAACGAGCTGGTCGCCAGTGACCCGGAAGCAATCCAAACACTCTACGGAATAAAGTCTCTCACAGCCAAGGTATAGCTATAGCCCTCGATCGGAGCATACTTCCACTGACCAACGAATTAGACCGACTTCTATTTGGCTTTCAGACCACCCTGGGGTACGCCAGAGCCCAGTCTTATGCAGAACAAAAACTGATAAGATCAGCACGATTCCCAGACCATTTCTCAGCAGAGGGCGGAAAGCAACACGGGGAGCGCCGCCGCATCGTCAGCCATGTCTATACAATGACGAGCATCCTCCAATCGGAAAAGTACATTGAGAAGTGCATTCGCATTTGGCTCGAGAAGCTAGGGGAGATGGCGGACAGCAGGAAATCTTTCGATCTGTGGATATGGACTCGAATGTAGCCATTCCCACCTCTTTATAGTTAAATGCTGATATGTGTATAGGTACGCATACGACGTTATCGGCGAGCTATACTTCAGCAAAATGTTTGGTTTCCTCCAAGCCGGCGGTGACCACCTGGGGTACATAGACGCAACGGAGGATTTGATCCCTGTCCAGTTCCTGGCCGCCAATATGCCCACCTACGTCCGGGGTCTATTCATGCTGACCGGGATCCTATTTCCAAAAGTCCGACGAGCGCTGGGAGCTCTAGGAGATCTAACTGACGCAACAAATGCAATGCTTAAAGACCGCCTCGCTACCCTACAGAGCGATTCAGAGTCTAAGTCTCAACGACAAGACATCCTAGGCAAGCTGCTCGAAATTTCACACAAAAGAGGCGAGGAACTTGATTTTGTGCTTGATGATATCAAGATGGAGTCGTTTGGTGCATTGTAGGATTTCTCAACCCACGAATGTTTGCATGCTAACAAATATATACGCAGCTTTGCTGGAAGCGAGACAACAGCTCTCACTCTCTCTGGCATCCTATATCATATCTTTCACACCCCCCGCGTATATGCAAAGCTCACCGCTGAAATTGACGCCGCCGTACAATGCAACCAACTCAGCACGCCTCGTATTTCCTACAACGAGGCCATTAAACTTCCCTACCTAGCGGCTTGCATCAAAGAAGGGATGCGTATGCACCCAATCACTGGCGTCTCGTTCCCCCGTCACGCGCCCTCGTCTGGATGCATGATCGGCGGGCACTATATCCCAGGGAATGCGCGCATAGGAGTGAACCCGGGGGTTATGCATTTCAACAAGACTATTTTCGGCGAAGATGCGGATCAGTTTCGACCCGAGAGGTGGATTGACGGCGATGCGAGTAGGATGGATCGGTTTATTATGCAGTTCGGGATGGGGGCTAGGACTTGTCTGGGGAAAAATGTGAGTTCCGTTCCGTCTCTTAGTACGATATATCGGTTGGAGTTCTTATTAAAGAATCCATGTTTAGATATCGATGTGTGAGATTTACAAGGCCATCCCGGAGCTTTTAAAGTCTTATACGTTTGAACTTGGGTGTGACGAGGAGATGCAGACGACGTCGTATTGGCTGTATAAGCCGGTGGCTATTGATGTTCATGTTCGCCGTCGTTGATGGCTCTTGGCTATTTTGGGTAGTAAAGTGTACTATATATAGGCAGCGCCTCTTCATGGAATGTCTTAGAAATCTCGGCTATTCAAGCAGGTATGAGTAGTTCATCGGCGCGCTCAGAATCAAAGAATTCCTTGGCAATTTCGGTAGATATTGACGTCCGAATGGCAATCTGCCCGGGTTAAGGCAGCAGACTGTGTGCCCCGTAGCCACTGTGGCCACTCACACTCTAGTTTCTGATGCCCCTTGACATTCAAATCTTCGATGTGTCTATGTAAGTATGTATCTGAGTTTGGACTGAGTACGAAGTTTCGGTGGGGCTTGAGATTACATCTAGAGTCTTTGGCATGGCCTCATAATTTAATTCATTATATATGTCTGCAAGTTTACAAATCCCAACACCCTCCGCCATTATCGAATGGAGCTCTATTTATCCTGACAATTCCTGCCGTCGAAGTGTCTAAGTCATGGGCGACAGTTTTTGCTCATTGAGGAATATCCCCGGAATTCCTGAAGCGCTTTAGTTCCTGTGTGTAATGAACGCTGGCTAAGCAGTGGGAATAGCAAGCACGTTGATACTTACCCTGGTGAGGTTTTTTCTCCTACAGTATCATTTCCCAGTATTCTCCAACCGACTTCATGCCGAGTGTCTCCTCTTCTTCGGACTTAATAAGCTTATATCCCTCCTTTTCGTAAAGGCGTCGCGCCGATGTTAAGCCACGGTTGGTCCACAACCGTATTCGCGAGAATCCCACCTCGCGAGCAAAACTCGTGCATTGCTGAATCAAGGCCCGCCCAAGTCCCAGCCCTCGTGCGCTCGGTTCGACCAGAAGAAGACGCAGTTTTGCGCCATTGAGATCCGAGTCCCTGTCCTTCACCAACATTACACAACCGATGAATGATCCATCCCGTTCGGCAATCCAGCAGCGTTCTGATGTTGGATCATAATGCTCAGTAAAGTCCGAGATCACCTGTGCCACGAGACCCTCAAAACGCTCAGTCCACCCGTATTCATGATTGTACAAGACACCATGCCGATGAACTATCCATCCCAAGTCGCCGGAGCGGTGTTGTCGCAGTACATATGGACTGGCCACAGTATCCGTCACTGATCCCATTACAATTATGGTGGCGATAAGATTCTTGAGAACGGTTGTCGGTGAAAAATAAGGAGTATATACGAGGAGAGTTATTCAATAGAGGTGTGTGGCTAGGGTTATATATAATGACTCAATTACTGTTCCTAGACACAATTCTTTGCTCTTCCATCATGACGCCTGGTGTGATAAAGTCTACAACAAAGGTCTTTGGTCGGCTAAAGTTGAGGAAACCGGTCTGACTCAATTTCATTGGATGATACCAAACAATCGAGCGCGACTGTCGGACTCGACTCTCGAGTTGTGCGCACAAAACTTTTCACTGGCCTGACGGATGCGGAGTGGGGGCGCACGGCGGCAATTAACCGGCGGCCAACCTTAAATCCACCGACCGCAGCAGACGACATGCAGATTTTTTGAGGAACCCCCACCGAGAGCCCTGCTCCACCGTATTGCGCCCAATGAATCAGGACAAGCTTCCTATGACGCCGACAAGAAGCCCGGAGAAAGATTTATCATGGCCAGCCGCAAGAACCAGTGACTCTCATCACTTTAGGAAACCTGTGGGAAACAAGCGGCCTGTAGCGTGAGTGCGATTACCCATAGCTTGTAGCCAATCGTACGTCTCTGAATAAAGATTTGGGACCTAGTTGCCAGAGATGCCATGCTCAGAAAGTCAAGTGTACTGGTGGAAAGCCCTGTTCTAGATGCCTGGTGGCGGGATGCGAGAAGGAATGCAGATATGTTGTACGCGACCGCAAAGTCCGTGTTGATGAAAGGTAGGGTTCTGGTGCAAACCTTACCAATATGATTCTTTGTAGAGCCCGGTACTGATGTCCCAAAACCAGTTATCTGGATCAACTGATACATGACAGTCAAGAGCTTCGTCGGTATCAGCGAAGGTCAGTTAGCGATACCCCTGTTGGGGCCGAGGGTCGCGGCTTTTCAAACTCCCCACCTAATCCTGTATTGGAGAACGTATCCCGTTCACAAAATCCACTGATGAAGGACTGTGCATGGTTTCAAACCTACAATGAGTCAACTCTTCCCGCATATGTTAGCGAGGTAACCTGTACTGCATTTGCCACGCGCCTGTGCCAATGTTTGAGTGACAACGACGCTTCAACTTCGCACCTACCACGGATGCAATATGTGAGGGAGTCTCCCCTAGACCTTCTCTCCAGTAGAAATGTCTTATGGCCGAGTCTGGCCCGGGCTCGATTGCTCGTGAATACCGCGCTTGGCCACGCCAACCCACCATTTCACCTCGCCCTACGCAAGACCACTGTGGATTATCTCCAAACTATTTACCAAAACGCAACCTTCGACGATCCTGTTCTACTGTGCAAGTACTTCGCTCTCTTTGCTCTGGGTGAAGCATGCTCGGTTCCAAATGGCAGGCTGAATAATAGCACTGTGCCTGGCACGGCTTACTATGCACGTGCCATCAATATGATTCCCGTGCTACCGGAGAGACCTAGCATGGCCCACATCGAGGCCCTTGTGATTCTGGTAGCCATTTCCCTTCATCTTTCGCTGATGAGATACTGATTATCACCAGTCACTCTATAGTCAATTTCTGAACCGGTGGCATTCCGCCTATATTCTGGTAGGAAACGCGCTGCGGCTTGGACTGTCTGCTGGTTTCCATCATAACATCCCCGACAGCCAATGCCCCGATCCAATCGCAAGGGAGAATCGTATCCGCCTCTGGTGGACAATATATATTTTTGACCGTTTCTGGGGCCTGAAGCTTGGACTTCCAAGGCAGGTCAGTGATGACGATATCCACGTTGATTTACCTTCGAATCTTGCTGTTGAGGGATATCTGGACGAATTTGCAGACAGTTCATACCAAGTCGCTATGATAGAGCTTGCCAAGATCTCTACCCATATCATGCAAAGTATTTACAGCCGTACAAAATCTGCCGAAACTTTCCTACAGAGAGAGCAAAGGCTTTTGAATGAGATGAGGCAGTGGCTGCAGTCGGTGCCTAATCATGTCCGACTCCAGCAGGACACGCACAACCCCAGGTATACAGTTCTTATCCATCTTCAATTCAACTATGTAGGTTTCTGTTTTCCTTAGGCTTGTCTCGCTATTGACTGGCTTAGTGTTTGATTCTTGCTCTACGCCCACTATTACTGGGCATTCTTGAGCATATTGGAACAACAGAGTCTTCGCCGGAAACGACGGTATCACCTGTCCTGACGGCCTTGACTGAAGCGTGCATCCATTCTGCACGACACACGTTGATCCTCTGTGCTGATGAATGGACGAAAGGATCCATCTCCGTGTATGGATACGCCTTCGTACAGTACATCTTCACATCGTCACTGGTCCTGGCGATTTCGAGCCTCCTCCCAGATGGAAAAGCAGATGATTTAGCATATGTCGAAACGGCAACGGAGATGTTGGGTACATTTGCGGCCAATGGCAACCTCATAGCCGGTGAACTTTACGAACATCTTCAAAAAGTTCAAACCTGTCTTAAGAGCGGTAGATTCTCATCAAGGTCTCGTTCGACCCCGGGCAATACAGCCGTTGAAGTTCAGCACCATCGCCAACCCAATGCTTCATCTATAACGCATTCACCGACTACTACCTTCATGCCGTCCACCAATTCCCAGATATGTCCCACGGGCGCTACACAGCTCCCTATTACAGACCCGCAATACATGACGGCAGAGATGTCTCTGTACCAGCCAACGATGCAGAGTTTCTTAACTCAACCAGTGACAGACATGGGTTTGTTAGACCCTGACGAACTGCCAAGTTATCTTACAGATTCATGGCCCAACCTTCCGCTATGGACTAGTGACTTCTGAAAGCTTTCCCAGCTTCCACAGCATTCGGATGCTAATCTATCCTTTGATCGACATTACAAGTGGTATCTCGATACGTAGATCTTTGTTATGTCTCATAGAAAGAGAAAAACAACGTATCTGATTTGCCAGCAGCGAGTAAAGGCCAGACACTTACAGATCTCTTGGAGCGGAAATCGAAAAACAGAAACCAAAGGTTAAGCGAAGATGTCGACGAGGAATTGTGAGAACTGCTTTGCTACTGGGCAAAGATTCGTTTGTCGTGTCTTGTAACGTAAAAATAGAGCTGCAGCGGCCAACTGTCGGTGATTTAATGGCCGAGGCTGTGCCAGAGATGCACTAACCGCTTTTGGTTCTACCTGGCGCTCCCAACAGCTTCGAATCTTCGACGAGCGATGATCGTTACTGTTTTTATTTTCTCACTCTCCCACATTGGGTATTTTTCTTGTGACTCGTATAACCAATCCATGAACGGAGATTCAGCCCAACCTTGCTGTACCCTTGGCAAAATACTTGGCCTACGTACCTTTCTGGGTCAGGCAACCAGCCCATAAAGTTACGATGTTATGAGTGTGGATAAAGTCATTTCAATGGCTACGATGACAAGCCAAGATATGGGGGCGTTGCTGGTGCTGGCATCAATTGCCATCATCTCTTGACGTGTTCGAGCAAACCTGGCTGAGTATATAACAGGCAGCTTCCATCTTACTATGCCTTGATCATATCGCATCACCATCGTTCAATATGCTCTTCTCTCAAGCTATCCTTCCACTCTCACTACTCGCTACCGCTCATGCCAGTGCCATTCCTATCCGGAATTCTGAGGCACAATCACCAAAGCTCAAATGGGGCCCTTGTAGTTTCAATGGCACTCTCCCTATAGAATGCAGCACGCTGGACGTTCCACTGGACTATACGGACAAGGACTCGACGGCGACCCTTAGTCTTGACCTTATCAAAGTTGCTGCCGTGAACACACCATCCAAAGGAAGTATTTTATTCAATTTCGGTGGTCCAGGCGGGGATGGCTTGAACAATTTGGCTTCAAGTGCGGCCTTGCTGCAACCGTAAGGATAGCTTTCCAACCATATCATCCCACAGAGAATGCTCATTAGTTTTCCCAGGATGACCGGTGGATACCATGACATGATAAGCTTTGACCCACGGTAAGCGACACAGATCACGTTGAGGGGTGCACTGGGCTGATGAGGATATGTAGAGGAACTGGCAACACCCTCAACTTCTCTTGCTATGATAGCGCCATTGAAAGAACAGTGAGTCAGTTGAGTCTTCACCAGGAGCTGGTCAATGCTTCCAATACAGCCTTGGGAAGACTATGGACATCCGGGAAGGTTTTCTCGGACACCTGCCTTGATCGTATGAGGGAGAATGCCACTCTTGTCGGTACGGCATTCGTGGCGAGAGACATGATGCAGATTGTTGATGCCCTTGGCGAAGATGGAAAGTTGAGATATTGGGGTACGCATCCTTCGGACTGGGGCAGTTGTACCTGGTGCAATCAGCTGACTATTATCAGGTATTTCCTACGGAACCGTTTTGGGTGCAACAGTCGCCTCTTTGTTCCCAGATCGCATGGACAAGGTAATCTTGGATGGGGTGCAGAACCCTCATGAATACTACCATGGATTGTGAGTTAGTTCCGTCTGGGGATTTATTTCTCATGCATGGCTAATGGGGACCAACAGAGATTTTGAGATGTTCACCGACAGCGGAAAGGTGTTTGAGGGCTTTTTGTCCGGCTGTGTGGATTCGCCCGACAACTGCCCCTTGGCTCGTGGAAACGCAACTGCTGCTAGCCTCGGTAGAACCATGTCCGATTTCTTCGAAACCCTCAAATACAACCCTATTCAAATTGGCCAATCTATTCTCGACTTCTCCACCATCAAAAACCAGATCTTCTCCACCCTCTACTGGCCCGGTCAATGGCCTCAGCTCGCCGCTCTGCTTGATGGTCTAATGACTGGGAACCTGACAGACAGTGCTGACGGTTCCGAGGGCTCCTCGGAATCTGCTCCAGGATTTGCCGAAGCGTTGGCTGGCATCAAATGTGGCGACAAGTCTACACGGGCCTCAAGTCTATCCGACGTCACCCCTCTTATCAACCAAAACTTGCAATCCATAAAGTGGTTCGGGGATCTCGCATCCACCGCGGCGATGCAATGTATTCGCTGGGGAGGCGAGGCTAAAGAGCGATATGGTGGCAACTTCCGGGTGAAAACCAGCCATCCAGTTTTAGTGATCGGCAATACCTATGATCCTTCCACACCTCTCGTGTCCGCTCGGAATGTCAGCGCAGGACTAGAAGGCAGTGTTCTTTTACAGCAGAATAGCTACGGGGTAAGTTTTCTTAAGTGTTTCCCTGTGTCTATTTTGTGATTCTAACATGCTCTATACAGCACACGTCCATCGCGCAACCATCGAACTGCACAATCGGTCATATCCAGCAGTACTTTTTGAATGGCACACTGCCCAGCCCAGGAACTGTCTGCGAACCTAACTACCCACTGTTCCACAAGGCATGAGAAATTGGCACTATGAATGCGTGCCCATCTGACCTCGGATGTGACCGTGTGGGAAATAACAGGCAATAGTGGTTTTTTAATGTTGGCTCTAATGAAGCTTTTTTTTTCCCTTCTCTTCTATGGATTGCTTAGATAGATGTATCAATTGAATTTATGTTTTTACTACATGAGGCGATAAGCGTTCGTCTTTAGCGCTGATGCAGGTCCAAGATAGTACAATGCGCTTCAATTAACCAAACTCTACGAGACCTACCGGAATCCATCCTTGTATCGAACGTGCGAATGTCGGAAATCTCATACGTAATAGAACTTGCAACCACAAAAGCTCTAAGGCCTGATTCATAAAGCGAGCTGCTACGGTGCAAGAAGTCCACAAGACATAAGGGTCAACCAAGTAATGAAAATAGGGCAACAGGAATGACACGAACTATGAACTGACGGTAAGTTCGGCCGGGAACCCGAATTCAAGCGGCCACCACACTTCGATGAAACAAAACCAATGTTTTCATACGCCTTTCATACATAAGATTGCCTCGAACCAAATCAAGGGGCATATCGAAACCCTGGCACACCCTCCAAGTCGCCTCGCTCCTTTTTGTCCACGCGGCGGTTCTGCCGCTGGAGGTAAAACGAAAAGATCACCGTCACAACGGTATATAGCATTTGCATCGCAATCGTGGCCCACATTCCCGGGAGATATGTCTACCGAACCAACATCAGTGTCATCGTGGTAAAGGAAAAATAAAAAACTAAAATAAAATGCCAGGATGGTACTCACAGGCGCATCCTGCGTCCGAAAGATAGTGGACCCCGCGATCCCCCCAGCAGCACCCACAGATATCATCGCTGCCGCGACCACGCCGCGTTTCTCCACCGTCGGGATCTGGCTTTGGCCATATGATAGTGTCCCTGGTATATTCGCCTGCGTGCCGAAGACGGCGAGGAAGAGGCCAAAGTAACGAACGCCGGGGGGTTTGCAGTAGAGCGTGATGAGGAGCCCCACGACCGCAGAAAGCGATTGCACCACGAGAATGGCCCAGCGGATTTTATACTTATCGGACAGCCAGGCCATAGCCAGAGACATGATCACAGCGAATACGTACGGTGGTGATGAGAGTATCTGGGCCAGGGCGTAGCTGAAGCCCATCCTTCTCGGAGAATGATGGTCTTGAAGTACGCAATGGAGTAGACACTCGAGGCGGCGATGAAATACTGAATTGAACTAGGTTCGTTAGTCCAAGTAACGGTCTACCCGCCAGCCACGGGGTTAGGACTGGGAGCGCATTACTAGACGATAATCTTCCAATCCCCGAGCATCATCATCGCCTCCCTGAGACTGGGGTGTTTGTACTCTCGCTCCCGCTTGTCCTCGGATAGCCGAGCGATCGCAATCTGTTTCTGTCGGGGCGTCAACCAGCGTGCTTTATCGGGAACTTCATTCCGTCAGCCTTAGCTCTCAGAGGGCTCAACGGGGCAGGCAGAGCGTACACTCCACGAGGAAAAATGCGGCGGCAATCCCGGCCACAATGGTCGCAATGCCCTCGATGATAAAAATCCACCGCCAGCCCTGTCTGTACATTCCATTTCCAACTCGAATCAAGGAAAACACGTAAGCGAGGATCGGTCCGAATCCAGACGCGATCAGTGCGGCCATATAGAAAAGCGAGACCCTCGTGGCCGTCTCATACTGCCGGTACCACGATGCGATGATGAAGACTGCACCGGGGAAGACTGGCTACAGGTTAATAGATGTAGGTGATATCATTGGGCATAGAATCATACGTCCAGCCTCGAAGATCCCGAGTAACGCACGACACACGGTTAAGGACTGCCAGCTGTGAACGAACCCCATCCCGAGAACGCAAGCGCCCCATGATATAATCAGGAAGCTTAGCCACACCCTGGCTCCGATGCGGCGGATGAGGAGGTTCGATGGGAGTTCGAATAGCCCATATCCTGGCGTCGGTTAGATGTATCTAGCAGCCCACAAGAACGTGCTGAGCCTACCGATAAAAAAGACAAGTAGGGCGATGTTGTATCGCGATCTGTGAATATTAGGATCGAACAATTGTGTGGCCAATCGGTATAACCCACCCTTGCGAAAGCTGAATATCCGTTCCGAGGCCAGCGATGTAGGCAGAGGATATATTTGTTCGGTCTAACAGCGAGAGCCCGAAGATAGTGCATAGCATTGGAAAGACGCGCCAGTCAATAGTTCGCCTTAACAATGGTCAGTTGATCCACGATCAGGAGCAGTAAGCACCATACGTACACCAGCTTTTTTTCCTCCTCATTCGTCCACTCCAGACCTCTGTCAGCTTCTCCCTCCTTGATCGAACCTGGGACCTGAAGTGGATAGGAACCCGCCTCCTCAATCTCTTTTGCTTCAACGTCTTTGTTGTCCATTTTGGCAGAGGATATGGAGGAGCCTTGAGCAGATCTTATATGAAGAACACAATAGGCAACCCTTAGTTTCCTTTCCCTTTATAGCTGATCGGCGCTTCAAGTAGTCTTGCCTCCCCCCCCCCAAATCGTATTGAAGACCTGCATAGGTACCCTCGGCTCAGCGGTTATGCCTCCTCATTGTTTGTTACTTGGCGTAGGGCATGTAGTAACTGCCAACACGAAGAGCCTACTCGTATTTCCTCCAGGTTAGATCGACCTCGTTTACCCCACGGGGTAGATAACCGACGTAGTGGGGCTGCCTTCTGCGAGTCTTTTAGTGCCAATCAATACATTGATCTGGCCTAGGCCTTCTTGACGATCTTGCTACGGGGAACCCCGCACCGCATATCTAGCACCCACCCCCAGTATAGATAGACGTGTACAAAGGAGGATTGGCAGTGCCGAGCATTTAGGTCTTGACGTTCTCCACAGTGGAGTCAGTAGGCCATTAGGTCTCAAACAGATATGCGGGGTAGGGTCAAAGGCCCTTTGAATTCATGCACAAAGACCCGGGGCCATTGTGGGATTAGTGTTTGCCAAGTACTACCAGATACCCGTTACTTCTACAGAGCCCTGCCCAGCTAAAGCAACTGGTGTGATCTCTTGTAATTTCTTTAGCACCTACCAAGCAACAGTTAGCTCCATTCTGTCACCACACTTTGTATGGGGGCGTACCGATATAGCTTCAACTATTTACAAAGCTCCAACAATAGAGGGATATATTCAGCAAGAAGCAATCCATGCAGATAGCAGCTCCTATGATCACCCAATGACAGCAGGTATCAAATATGCCAAGTTTTGACCGTCATTCCTACGTCTCTCATTCGCTCTGTTTCCCATGCTTACGACAGTTGAGTTCTGCCCAGGAACCATAAAAGGCGCGGCCAAACCGTCGAACCCGAAAGTGGAAGCTCAAGGGGCCACCCTACTTCACAAATGTAGCAATCTTGTCCTGCAGCATAAAGTCTGCTGTCAGACTTACCACTGTCTGTAGTCGCGACGACTCCCCAATCAATTGATATGGAACATCCCGCCCATGCAATGCTGGGGGGGTGTTGAACTTATACGCGTGTATCTGGCCACTGCATTCCTTCACACGTATACCGGACAATTAAAGCCAAAATCTAAGGGGATGTTGATAGACCGCGGAAACTACTCTGCGGGTCGGTATGAGCTCTTATAGATAAATGGGTAGACCACACCAGATATAGTACAGTGGTATTCTGGTCTGAGATAAATCTATGACGTCTATTTGATAAAAATCATACTGTATCTCTCCACTCTACGACTCGCTAGGTGATTGACGATTGGCAGAACCTCTCAAAACTATGCCATATAACCGATCACAAACCTCAGTGGAGAACTGCTGCTGCGGAGTAGCCGCTATGAGCCTCCGCACCCAGAGAACGGAGTAGGCATCTCAAAACCATATAACCTCGGAAATATTTGCGTCTTACAGCATATCCGGCTTCTTGGCCTGCATTAAAATAACCATCGCAAATTCATTGTCCCACGAACCAGGGAATCAGAGCGCAAAATGGCAACTCCGGAAGCCCCACCTAATGCATTGTGCTCCCGCCCTTTCTCAGTGCACAACTACTGAGCGCTATCATATCAGATTAGACCATTGCCTGCCTGTCTGCTGAGCTGTATGAATAACCTGCACGCTTGCCATCTTAAGTTCGATGCCAGAACCTCTCGGGGAACCCTGGATAGAAACGCACGCACAATATGTGGATTAGAAGCTTGGTATATAGTTTGGTTTTTAAGATACTAAATACCCAAAGGATCTACTATGACACCCAGATAGGTCAAGCTAGGCGAACCTATCCTATGAATTCTATAGTGCACAAGGGTTGAGGAATGGAAATTTAGAGTGGTACGACCATCGAACTTGTTAACCACGCTATTCAACCAAGGTAGAAAAATCACCGTCAACAGGTTTCGGCCTCTTAGGATCCTAGTGGAGGAATAAAGGTCTCGTCATATGGAGATTTTATTGGAGTACCATCCAAGTTGGTGGATACACAGCTATTTTCAAAGGTTCTTGTGTGTCGGAAGCAGCCTTTTAGACTGACTTCAAGGGTCACTAACCCAACCGCCATCAACAACATATGTGCTTCCTGTCACTCCGCTGGCTTCGTCACTTGCTAGGAAAACGATCACCTTTGCGACATCCTCAGGAACCAGATCACGTTGCAAGCTCTGACCGCGAAAGACCTCGGCGCGATATTCAGGCGTGAGAACGTCCCGCTTTTGCCTCTCTGTCGCAATCGCGCCCGGCATGACGCTGTTGATGCGGATGTTCGAGGCGCCAACTTCCTTGCTCTGCATACGTGTAAGACCCATGATTGCCGCTTTGCACGCGCCATATACCGGTTGGTCAGCGGCAGGAATGCGCCAGGTGATGGATCCTAAATTGACAATGCTACCGGCCCCCGCCTGCTTCATCCCCGGAATAACAGCCTGAGAAAGGAAGAACACATGTCTCAGGTTCGTATTGATATTGAAATCCCAGGCTTCTGGAGTGACACTTTCTGTATCCAGTCGTGCGCCACTGCCAGTCGCAGCGGCATTGTTGACCAAGACATGCACTGGTCCGTGGTCTTCCAAAATCTTGGCTGCCGTTGCTTGCAATGCGGGGAGATCGGACAAGTCGCAATAGTAAAAGATTGGAACCTTGATAAAAGGACCCCCGCGTGCTTCGGCATCTTGATTGCGTGAAGCAACATGGGCGATGGTCTTCTGCGCTGCGTCTTTGGAGATGTCTAAGAAAATCACTTGGCTGCCTTGCAATGCAAAAAGCTCGACAGTGGCAGCACCGATTCCTTCCGCGCCGCCTGAGATGACGACAGTCTTACCCTGCAGGCTGGGGTAAATTGCCGGTGCTTTTGCCATGGCTGCGATGAGAACAGTAGAATATTAGCACGTTGGAACAACTTCCTTCCTTCACGACCAGTGCGGGGTCACGCGTCTGGTTACTCTACTGCAACAGAGCACATGACCCTCTCCGTCCGGGCCTCGTGATCGGAAATTTCCTTCTTGGACTAAATTCCGAACAAACCGAAGCTCAGTCAAAATGCCTGTTATCAATATCCCATAGAGAATCTCCGTTGACCAACGTGTTTCCTATCTTTACAAAGTGCGTGTAAGGTCACCGGCTCCATCAAACACATGAGATCTCTTCCACCAAAAAAGGGCCAGCTTATAAGTCAAACACCTAGACTGGAGTTTCTGCCATGAGCGTGCATATAGTCGATTGCTGGTGTACGGAGAAAGACTCTAAAAGAGATCATGGGTAGCAGACCCTTATAATGACAATAGTATACAACTTGTCCAACACTAAGATGGATCCCTACTGAATGTCACCGGTACCCCCTTCGTTGAGATACGCGACCAGGTCTTGAATGGTGCACACGGTGATGCCCCATCTCTTTCCAAACTCGAGACATTCATCTCTCCTCATCATACCACTATCCTGGATATTTGGCTCGCCTTCAATACACTCTCCGTCATTGACCAATTCTGCCAGGATGCCCACGGGCTGCTTCCCTGCCAGATGGCAGAATTCAATAGCAGCTTCCGTATGGCCCATCCTCTCACGCACGCCGCCTTCTCGAGCCTGGAGAGGCATAATGTGACCGGGCCTGCGGAAGTCATCTGTGTGGACAGAGACAGATGCAAGGGCACGGCATGTCATGGCCCGATCCTGCGCTGATATACCGGTTGTAATCGAAGGTTCGTTAGCATCAACCGACACCGTGTAGGCAGTTCCCTTTGGATCGGTGTTCTTGGTTACCATTTGAGGCAAACCGGCACGACGCGCAATGTCAGGGGTAACCGCAGCGCAAACTAAGCCACTATGACCGGTGGTTAGTCCGAGGGAACCAGTAGGCTGGCGACATGTATTATTTGCCCTTGGCGAACTCGCTTACCTTGTATAACGAACCAAAAACGCCATCTGCGCGTCCGTGACCGACTCGCCGGCAATAATTAAATCACCCTCATTTTCGCGGTCTGCTGCATCCAGCACGATGATGAACTTCCCTTGCCCTGCAACAAGATTAGTCTGAGGAAGGAATTGGTAATCACGTAAGGGCAGGCTAACTAACTGAACAAGGTTCACTTACTAAATGCATCAATTGCGTCCTTTATGGAACCAATTCGGGGAGTGGGTTCTGCGGATTGCATGTTTATGGCCAAACAGTCAAGTGCGTTACTGCAAAGTCCGATATAGAATGCACCCAAGTGTATTCTGGTCGCGGCTTTAATATACACAGGGCTGGATGGGACTGCTTTTAGCTCCGACGGGGTCAGGGTCTAGGGCCTCGGGATTAGAGTGGGGCGCAAACGGTAGCTCCGACTAGTATTCCTGAACCTACTTTCGCCCCGAGGCCCTTGAAGCCCGACCCGGTCGGAGCTAATGGCCCGAGTGTCTTAAGACGGCATATAAAGCCGATGAAGTTAGTCATACTTTCTCGAGCTTGGCGGCGTATCTGGAGAATCACACGAGGCAATATAGAGCAGAAAGTCCGATAGCTGACTTGGGAAAAATGCAAGATGGCACCGGGAGTAAATGCAGAAACAGGTAACTCCGGGCTCCAGGGGGTCCGCAAAATCCTACTGTTCGGGAGGATAGAGCTGGGATGGCTTCTGGAATGACGGATATCCAGGGCTTCTATAAAACGGGATGGCAGCTCTTAGAGGGTCAAAAGTTTTGAAGCAAGGACATCATCCAACATTATTGTGAACCATCCAGCCTTCCAAGTTCCGTTTTCCTCTCCCATCGATTCAAGATGACATACAGTACCTATGACGTGGTGATTGTGGGAGCTGGTCCAGTTGGACTCTTCCTCGCCTGTGAACTCCGCCTTGCCGGTCTCTCCGTTCTGGTGGTCGAGAAACGAACCAACTCGGACGGCATGGCGGAAACACGGGCTTTTGTGATGCATGGTCGCTCTTTGGAAATCTTCGCCTGCCGTGGCCTTCTAGACTCCTTTCTTCAAGCAGGCCAGAAGACGAACTGGTGGCATTACGGTGTTCTGGATACTCGTCTTGATTACAGTGTTTTCGGTCGTGAAACGGACCAGAACTACGTGCTACTCGTTCCTCAGTATAAAACCGAGATGATCCTATTCGAGCGGGCCGTGGAGCTGGGTGCAGTAATCATCCAGGGCGTCCAAGTCGATTCAGTCAGCCAGTCTGAGACTGCGTCATGGTGAAGGGTGCCTACTCGGATAACCGGCCGTTCATCGCCAGCGCGAAGTACCTTGTCGGTGCAGACGGTGTTCGCAGCACGATCCGCAGACTCGCCGACATTGAGTTCACGGGCAATGCACCGGTCAATACAGTCATGAGTGGCGAAGCGACCCTGGGCGCGGCCATGCCCAATCCTTACATTGTTCACAACGAGCACGGATTAGTTATCGCAGCCGACCTCAAGGTCCCCAGTGGAAGGACCAGGCTCAATGTGTTTTCGAGTGATCGTGGCACGGTTCCGGAGTCCGTTGAAGTGACTCTCGACGAGATGAACCAGAGCCTGCAGAAAATCACCGGCGTGGATTACAATCTTACGAACCCTTGTATGCTGAAGCGTTTCAGCAACGAACAACGCCTAGCGACCAGGTATCGCCAAGATCGGATTTTCATTGTCGGCGATGCATGCCATAAACACCTCCCGGCCGGCGGTCAGGGGTTAAATGTCGGCCTCCAAGAAGCGCTGAATTTAGGATGGAAGATTGCGGCAGTCGTCTCCAAGTCCGCCCCGATTTCGTTGCTTGATACGTACGAAGAAGAACGCCGGCCGATTGCCAAGGCGGTGGTTCAAAACACCACTTCACAGTCGCTCTTATTCTTTGCCTCCTCTGGTCCAGAATGGGCAGTCCGGGACGCGGTGGAGAAGCTTTTGTGTGTACCAGAGGCCAACAAGGCTTTGGCCAAGGAAATTAGCGGATTTTCGGTCACTTACCCCAAGTCGCTCGACATGATACTTCCAGACGGATGGCAGGCCCTACCCGGCAACATCCAGGGAAGGCGTGCATTGAATGTAAAGATCAGACTACCGGATGGGGTGGCGACTGAACTCCGTAATTACACCGAAGACGGACGTTGGGTCCAGCTGCACCTTCCTGGGAAACATTGCGTTGAAGTACGACCTCCTCCGGCATTTGAGAACTGGACGACGGTGGTGGATGTTGCCGACATGCCTGATGAAGAAGAGAGGACAAGCCTGTATATGTGTGGAGTTAGAGAGATGCTGATCCGCCCAGATGGCTATTTGGCCTTTGGTCGGTGGGACAACTAAAATGGGACTGGAGAGCTCACCTTCGCATTGGGGTCAATATGAAACACGACAAGGTCATAGAAAAGAGAGCAGGGAAGAAAGGAAAAGAGAAAAAAAAACACGGCAACTTAAAACATGCCCATTTGGTTTTTCTATGTATAATATGTTGAGCTAGATCTATTACTACCCAGTCGTGCAATGTAGTCAGTTTTACACTCAACACTAGCCGCATTAATATATACACTATGCAAGCATATAGTACTCCTTATCATTGATACTATTATTACTAACTAGATAGACCAGTACACCTCGGTTTAGACTGCTGTCGATACATAGTACATGATATAATATAGGCATATCTGGAAGCGTACAGGAAATGTGCTCTCTCTGACCCAATTTACTACATCGGGTACAATGAAAATCGATACACGTTCGAGGCGGGATCGACATCTTGAACCCGAACCGGACATTAGGGTTAGAGATACTAGTTCCCAGGAACTTTCTATCATCCATCACAATATGAGCTGTAATTATTTCTTGGATCCAGTCATAGTTCAAGCATAATCAAAACTAAGACGCGGCAAAAGTCAGTGTGCCGCATTGTTGGCGGTTCTATTTTTATATAACAGAACGCACTTAAGAACACTAGTCTACACGAGGCCCATGGCTTGAAAATCATTACTTCCTCGTCGGTAGCAGTCTGTCCTTACCTATTATAGAGCAATAGAGAGTAGCAGGGTATAAGAATAGCGAGAAAGGGATATAGTGGTAATAGAAAGGGCTGAGACGGTTGTATACACTATTCTCATTCTTGACCTGAACCGCGCCCCACTAAAAGCAATTGGCTGCTCCTACTTCCTGTGTATCCTGACTCGCCGGCATATACACTGCAGGTATTTACTTCGAATTTCCTTGAATTAATTTCCATGCGAATATAGACGGTTAGTGTGCATACTATCGGAATGCGAACGTGGTCATAGAATTTGGGCCAAATAATGGATATCCTTGGGCCGTAACTTTTCCCACCATCCATGGCCGCAGGACACGTGGAGAGTCAACACCCAACGCAGCTTCATTGGAGGCCGCACTGCATGAGTTACATCCTGACCGATAGAGGGTTGCATCAGGTAGTCATGCATGAATGGTATGGTTATCAGCATGTGTTCGCCGGTCGTCGCTTTCCCCTTGTTGTGGTATGTGTGCAACGGACGGTACGGTGCGATCCTTATATCATTCCTAGGAATTGTTTGCTCATTGTTGAGGAAAGCCCAACACACTGTACACATCGTTGATTATGTCCCTTGGAGACAGCGGCTCAATGGCGATCACAGCGGTAATCCCGAGCCATGAGGAGAAGCGTCTTCGTGAATTCTATCAGATAGTTTATTTATTAAGTTCCCTAGACCTCAGGAGAGGAGATCGCATCAAGAAAGGAATTTCAGCTGAACAGGAATGGATCACTGTTGCGGAACATAGGCGGAATATGGCCGACGCGTTGGCATACATATCGGCGTATGACAAAACACCGGGCCGTGTGACGGCTGTTGCGCTTGGAAAGGAAAAGGGTAAGCTAGTTGTGTGGATAGCAGCTAATCAGAAAGTGAGGCCCGAAGTCGAGCCTTTCCTAAAGAAGTTGTTCAAACGGCTTGATCAAATCGCCCATGGCCCAGAGTTGGGTTGTGATCGTTTGGTTAATTTCGTCCTCCGGTTCAACTGGAAAGGAGTCCAGAAATACTACACTAAATTTCATGATTCATGGGCTACATACTACGAATCTCAGCAGTCCACAGGTTTGCCAAATGCTTGCTCCTATCGTGCAAGAGATAGATATGGCTAATGAAGAGGGGATAGGCCACAACCACAGCATTCTCCAAAAGTTGGACATTTGGGTTCAAGGGACATCCCCCAAGGACCCTAAGAATTTGCAGCAGAAGAGTATGGTGAACCTGGCGAGGAAGTGCCACAAGGACCGCAACCGAGACGGTGGAGTGTTCGATTTGCTGAAGAAAGCTTCCACACAGGGAATTATGTCTTCAGATGTGTGTGAGCGGTTATGTAACCTGCTTTTAAAGATTGGGAAACCTATAACCTTGTGCCGAAAATTGATTGACGCTAGAAAGTCGCTGCCCGAGGACTTCGAGAATGGTGCTGTGGTGAAACCAATTCACGTCTCTCCCCGACCATCTGATGGGACTGAGCGGAACTATTCCTTTGATAGCATTACAGATCGAATATTCCCGACTGAAAGTGAGAAGCAGACATTTTACCACCACGTTAATCAATTTTATGATCGTGATGTGGCCTCGGAGAAATTGCAGACTTACGTCAATAGTCATCCCCGATTCCGAGTGCACGCAGAGATTCAGCTGATCAGCTACTTTGATACAAATCACAGCCCGCTACTCGAGGAAGGAAACCCATACATTGGATGTAGTAAGCCTGCTTGTTACCTATGTTACAAGTATATTACCCATCATCCTAGACAGTGGTTTCAGCCGCCTTCCCACCAAAAGCTTTATCCTCATTGGGGTCTCCCAGAACCGCGCGGGGAGGAGAAGCGTGAGGAGTTCTTGGCTACTACAGCAGAAGTCCTTCAGCGCGAACTAGAAGAAGATATTACAAAGGAGCGGGGGCCGAGATCGGCATGCGACGATTCGACGGCAGGGGTCACATCGGTTCCTCGTACCGGTGGAATGAAGAGAGAGGAATCTGCCAACCCACGGTTGACCTCTAATAAAGATATGGTAGCAGGAAATGGTAAGGCGGGACCCCTCGGTCTTCACACATGGCTCCTATCTAATTGATGTAAGCTGTCATTGTATCTAGGAGAGCGCTAAGGGCGGTAATAGGAGGAGTGGAAGGAATTGGGAAACCGGACCATCATGCTGATTATACTGATGATGATGATGCTGATGATGATGCTGATGATGCTGATGATGATGCTGATGATGATGATGATGATGATGATGATGATGAGGGTGGTGTAAGACTTCGTTGAAAGGGCTCTCATGGAAATTGTATGCTCCGAGAACGTTTTATCATTGTCCAGAAGATAATATATCATTTCAATTCTATGCTAAACTTACTCCAACCACCCCTCTCCATGTGTCATGCTGGACCCTCAAATGTTCAGAGCAGAACAAAAAGGAAAACCGGTTTCAGGGAATGGAAAGTGCGGCCTTCCGTCCTTTGAAAACAACAGTGTCTTTATCATCTTCATTTTCCATTCCGTCACATCGCCCAGGGCCAGGATGTTTGTCACCTTCGGTGCCCGAAGGAAATATGTACGAATGGGAACATTCATTAGCTTCGGCATAGGATGCTTCCTCCCATGTCGTGGTTGTCTCAGTGGAGAGGCTAAATGACTGTGATGTATCATCGTCTGATGAATCATTGCTCTCGGAGCAACGATCCAACACAAACTTCTCCACATCTCTGCGAATGCGTTCCGTTATTTTGCGCAGTATCTCCTTCTGTTCGATAAAACGTGTGCTGGGTTCGACAGCTCGGATGTCTGGCAAGCGCCAGTGGAGGTCAAGGTGGTTGGGATCGCATTTTCGGATATGGTAATTGAGGCGATGCGATAGATATTGGTTGCACAGGTAGCAACAGGGCTTGCTAGTTGCAATATATCTATCATAATTGTCGAAATATTGCACCCGACTATTCTTATCGAAAAAGTCCACAAGGCGAAGCTCCGGATGAATTTGGGTATAAACATTTTCTTGATAGTCTTTAAGCTGTTCAATGAGCCTGCTAGGCGCCGGCACGACTCGCTCCAACCCTTGACGGAGCTGCTTGAAGCGTTGCCTTTCTGAAAACATCCGATTGGCAATCTCATCAAGATTCAGCTTCTTTCTGACTAGAGGGATCTTCATGCGCTCTTCAGGAGGTACGTGGTAGACCTTAATTTCCCTATGAAGATCCTGACGTATGGATATCGCCGACTTGAGAAGCAGGCGACACATTTCCATAGGCATAGCCAGGTTGAGCAGTTGGCGATGGAACTCCTCAAACATATCCACAAACCGCTGGCTTTGGCAAACAAAACGCTGGAATATCTCAAACTTCCCGTCCTGGGACGCTGAAAAACAATTGTGGACGAGAGCGGGCATATCTGTTTTGAGCAGCGCCATGCCGTTGCTGCTGACAAAGGTTTCCCTGAACCAGGCGGGAAAGTCAAAGTCAAGAACTGGGGTGTCTGCATGGCTTCATATTAGCTGCAGATTCCAAACCATAGGGAAACCATTGCCATGCCTTTCGGGTCATTTGTCCCAGTAGCCATTACCGGTATGCAAATGGGCGCAATATGATCAAATATCGAGTGATATACTGCGAAGCTATTGTCATTTTGCCATTCCATCACGTAATTCGAGATATTCGAAAGCTCTCTATTGCATGTTTCATCATTTAAGCCCACATGGAGAGCACTGGTGACCATGCCCAGCAACCTTTCCAGAAACGGAACAACCAAGTCACTGACGTCCTGATTTCCCGCGACGGCGATGATCACGTTCTCGTGGTCGTATCCTGCTGTAATAGCCAAGTCATATCCCTGCTTAAACGCTGCTAGTTCAACGAGCGCATTGAGGAAATCGCGGCGGCGTTGTAAGATTCCTCCCACTCCACCAGCATTAATTACTGCAATCGGCCTCCGCTCTGGGATTTGCTCTCGCAGCACGTATAGTAAGGAAAGGGGCTCATAGAGCCGCCGGAGCTCTGGGTGCTTATGGCGGACATAGGGCGAAGAGGCGGGATGTCGGGTCATCTTTGGTCACGTCTTTTTGAGTCTCAAAAGAAATGTACTCGAGAATTGGAAGATCTTCGTATTCGTGGCTCAATAAGCATTTATTGAAGTGCTGGTGACTAGGTTTTTTGCCGACGAGTCATTGTGCATTCTTCGAGGAAGTGCTTGCGTGAATATATTCCAATACAATATGCGAGAATTAGATGAGATCACCTTCCCAAGGATCCTGCCGTATGGTGACTGTTCCCCAAGAAGTAGCCTGCATACCAGCGGGTAACCTACCAAAAGCTAGGTTTGTTAAATTACCGTTTTCTGTAGGATGCATGCCTGGCAATATCTCGCCTTTCCGTAGAAAAAGGATTAGTGTAAATACCTGACCCTCTAGGTAGAGCACCTAAATTCCAGCCCATACATCCTCTGAACTTTCGCAAGGTTACAACCTCTGTTGATGTATCATTGGATGAAGGATATCTGCGTGAGCCTTGAGGGGAAGTGCCCTGATTGGCAACTTTCGGATATAGATTATTTGCCTAGGAAACCGCCGTTACGCTCTAGAAATGCAAGATACATACAGACGGACATCAATACGTACACACTCATTGCAGCTGCACCTCAGGTGACTTACAGTGAGGCTTCACCCTCCGAAGCGCTATTTGACGTATGTGCTTTCTCAACTTTCGAAGTAAATGGCCACCCACTTGCGCTATGCATGGCTTAAGGCCGTCGGTGATAGATCATCTGCAGCTGGTCAATTGCATGACGGCCTGAGATACCAGCGCCGTGAGAATTCTCCCCGTCACTCCTCATGCAAAGCCTATGCGGATACTGGCAACCGGGATACTTCGTCCCAGGTGGCCCAAACCCAGGATGTAAGTTGATGACTACCTGGCACCAACGGGGCACTCACACCTACATTACGATACGAGGATAAGATTCCTGCTCAGTCAACTATCTGGTAACTGGATTGTTGGTGCCTGAAAGGCGTCGTGTGCTATAGTCACTTTCCACACTGGTGCTGGGTAACTAGTTCAGGCTATGTGGCATCTAGGCATCCTTCGACCTATGTCCATCATAGCTGAGGCGAGTGTAAATGAACTGTTGATCACTTGAAGACATACCTGTGCCCACATGGCACAAGCCTGTGGTACTAACGCTACGCGCTCATTCACACACCCACACACCCACTTCAGAATCCACAAAACTAGTGTTTCCTTGCGCTGCGTATTTGATGATTATGATAAAGGCTAACCTAATACTGGATATGGGTGCTTAGCCTGTGCGTCATCGATACCTCGAGTTGCATATTTTATTATCAAATGGCTTGATTTCACCGAGGCAAATTCCATATATGATAGCATTTTCTACGTTCCCAAGAAGCCAAGATTATCCTGCATTGCTACCGGGCAACCGTAATCGAGGGTTGCAGTGCTCATTTAGCTCAGGTTTAATGCATAGTGGAGCTACGGGGAATACACTGTTGTCATCCCCGCACCTCGAAAGGCAGGCAAGTAGAGATAACGCGAGAAGTAAAGCCTCAAACGCCATTCAGGCATCAGTGGATGGCCAGAAAGTGATAGTTGAAGTTAATTTCGCTCCCCTCCATCAAGACGTATGCCCGACAGCGCACGCTTTTATGCACGACCCGAGCCAATAGTCATGTCTGATAACACCGGATCATTGAAATTGGCGCCGTGCGTCAAGCACGATGTCAATCATATTATGCAACCCTGAGCCAGCTGGCGAACGATCGGCGGTCCGAGCGTTAGGAAGCGGATGCGAGTCAGGGGTTGTGGTTATGGTTCACCATTGGCTGCCTTCAAGAGGCCGGATGCTAGGGTAGCGAGCTGTACGAGTGATGGCCAACACACGCATGCACTTGGCACCATCTCTGTACTGCAGGTGCTAAAGGAATGTCCAGAAGGCTAACAACGAAGCATTGCTCCTTGGTTAATTAATGAAGTATTGGGCAAGCATGATCTACATAACGAAAACGCTCTCCGGCAGGGTGAGAAATGATGAGTTATAAACCGTTCCCCTGAACCACAAGCTGCTCTGGCAACGGAATAACATAGCAGCTTACAGGTCTGTCCTACCAACCAGTCTTGAAAATGTCTCCCGCAGCGCACCAGACCGAGGACCCCTACACTATCGCCGGTAAGCTGTATACCATCCAAAGGGAAGGTATGGTGACTGATTGACACTTAGACTTCGAGATTGGAAAGCGACTGTTTACAACGCATATGGCCGTACAGCTAGTCGTGCGGTCATCAGAAGGTAGAGAAGGTGACTCTCTAGTGAGTTTTCTTTACCACTCTAGAGTAACGTTTTGGGCTCACGGATGGCTAACGATGTTCTAGTCCCAGTTCGACTCCCTGATCGCTGCCTATGACTTCAAAGATGCTATTACCACTTTGGTCAAAGCTGGCTTGCATGTTCCCCGGTCGGAATTGGTTTGTGATGAGACCTATCAAGACGTCCTATATAAGATCATAGGACGTACCAGACTGGGTGACTCAGACTCAAAAGAATCCTTTCCCACATTGATCCAGCAACTCCCATTGTTGGACTCATCGAATGGTGGGGTAGACCTCACCGTTGCTGCCATCACTGATCAGGTAGCGACTGGGCTTAGCACTGGTCCTCCAGGTTCAGAGGCTGACAATTGGAAGTATACATGTCGCTTGTGGGAGGATGTACAAGTGACGGGGGAGGAGCCAAAGGTAGTGGAAACATGCATTAGCAACTTTCCAACCAAGTTTCGTGTTACTATTCGGTATTGTGGTGTGGAAGCATATGGTGAGGGCAGAAACAAGAAAATGGCACGCCATATCGCGGCTAAACGTGTTTGTGGAAAGCTCAACCTACGGCTAGTCTCGTGAGTTGCAAAGTGTCTCTATTTATTGCCCCATTGTTTAAGCAGATGGAGCTGTGTTTAGTTGGTATAGTTAATTCAAGGCCGAGTTAATTCATTAAAAACCAAAGCATTTGTTAGAAGTTAGAGCTCCCCCTGTCTGAAAATAAAGCACATATAGCCCTGATCCGATTTAGAATCCGGACGGATTTCAGGTGCTTGGAATTCTAGATTAACATGTTAAATTTTGTCTGTATATCCTCATAACGCCTCTCCAACGGCATTTGAGCTGTGGGGTTCTACAGTTCAATGAGCCTGCTTACACTTGCTCCTGAGCAATGCCAACTACCAAACTTCCAAGAAGCATTACACGGTTAGGAGATAGAGGTAAACTCATGTATAATTTTATTTATGCTACCCAAAAGTCTAGTAGTCAATTTGAAATGTGATTGTTGGCTGTGGTACTGAGTGTTTCACCTTGGATAGACCATCAGGTAGTACGTGGACGGTTGCAGCCGCCAGCTGCACAAGTACACCGCGGTTTGCTTGGTCTTCCACAGGAATTGTCGCTAAGCTGTCAATAGTGACACTATATTTGATTGTCATGCGCTGTATCTTCGCCTGGTGTATCCTGCCAGACATTCTGCACTTGGGTAGGAGCCGGCTGTTTGGGATGGTCTGTCACCACATTGTGGGATATGAAATGCTGAAGAAGTGGTAGAATGCCCACTCTTTCAGCTAGAGCCTCACATTTCTGTAAGTTAGCCAAAGAGTCGATATATATGGCACCCAAAACACTCTGAACAATATCAGAGAGCACTTTGAGTTCCCGAAATACACCCAATCCTGCCCAGGGGTATATTCCTTTTTCCCATAGATCTTTCTTGACGATGTGCAGGTGACTGGTGAAAGTGCCCACTAGACTAGATAATTTGGCAGAAAGAGTGTCACTTTGTGAGCGTAAAAAGTTATAAAGCAACACTCGGTCACTAGTCCGGATGACTCTGGGGGTGCCCATACTATCAACCTCAATAGTATCGTGCTCCTTCTCCCAATAGAATGTGACACACATAAAGGCGAGAAACATATTGTTTGTCACAGCTGACTTCAAAGACTGCAGTCTTTGAGAGCTGATAAAGCTCTTCTGTCGATGTAAGTACCTGACAACTACCAACTCAATAATGCTAGCCCCAAGAAATGACAGACGCCGGTATGATGTTGTTCCGTAGACTCCCACACAGGATGGGTGTGTCATTGATTCTATTGCCAAACTCGTATCCGAAAAAGTGTATCCCAGGAGACCCTCTAAGTCTACGATAGTTGTGGCACCCAGTGACTTGGATGGCCGAGACTTAGAATAAGTGCCATCGTAGAGAGACATTGTAGTCCAAGATTTGATCTTGGGGACCATTGCTGCTACACATATAAAGGCTTGATCCAGTCCGTTGTCTAGGAAGGCAGCGCCTACTAAGGCTTTGGCCATACCAGCAATAGTAGCAGCACCAACATGTCTCCACCCGGTTTGACTGGCCTTTGTCAATGTTGTTGATACGAAAGCTGGCCGCCACCGTTTCCCGTTGAACCGTGCAGTTATCAGATAGGGCCCAAACCCAGAGTGGCAAATTGCCGTTGCAAGCCCTATATCTGACACAATGGAATCCTTCATGGTGGTCAAAAGACCCTCGTGCCACAGAGTATGATGCAGAAAGAGCTGTCTCGTTATGAGGAACTTTGCGATGGCATCCCCGATGAAGGCCATAGAGCGAAACTCGGGCCGATGTGCATCATCGGTTGGGCTGAGGGCAATGCATAGCAAGTCCGTTCGTTCAAAACGAGCTGCTTGGGGGTTTGAAAAGATCTCTTTCCTCAATCGTTCCGCCATCAGATATACTCCAATCTGGTGAATTATGCTCGGAGCTAGCAGGGCAGCTTCAGCATAGATAGATGGCAGCCGATCTACCCAATAATCTTCAGCTGCCAACTCGCTCAATCCCTGTCCCACCAAACCTGTGGATTGCAGCTTATTTGTCGGTGTGGGTGCTGCCGTCTTTAGATCATTGAGAAAGTTGCGACGTCGAGTCAATAGATGTATCTTGCCTCTGATTGGTAGGGTTGCCCCATCTCTATGAGGGCCCTGGTTTTCGTGTGCTTCTATAACTTCGATACAAAG